AAAAAAAAAAAAAAAAAAAAAACACATCTTAGTAAAACCAATACCTTCTCAGCTTCGCATCGAAGCTAAAATAAAATTGACACACCTATAAGTTATAAGGGACGATTCTAAAAAAATTTTTATAGTTTATAAATAAAGTAATATATGTAACTAAATAAAACCAAACTTTTTTTTCAATAATTGTATTTATTTTGCGAGTAATCAAGTAGTTTATGATACTCTGGTTACTCTGTGTATAATTTTTTTTATGTGTTGCTAATTACGAGGTGTATTTATAAATGAAGGTTTCCAAAGTCACCATGCAATGTTAGGTGAAATTTGGCAACACTGTCCCCCAGCAGTTTGCCTAAATGTTTATAACAAGGAGCTAAGCATAAAGTTGTCACATATAAAAGAAAATAGTGCAATAAGTTAAGTATTTTGTATTTGAAGATCACTGGTTGATGCTGGATAAGATAGTGGAAAAATTGCAAGGAGTATGCAGCAAAAAATCTATAAACATAATTTTGACTGAAAATGTGCAATACCGAAAATTGTTATCCATGTGATCTTGAAAATGCTCACTGCATATACAAAATAAAACGTATCTAATATGTCTATGAATTTTTTGACAGTTTTGAAGAAAAATGGAAAAAATTTCTTAATTTAATCATTACAGCAAATGAAACATGGGCACATTATTACACATTATAAACATAAGTGGATGGAATTAAATTTGAAAGCAAAGAAGAGGTACAGTAAGCAATTGTTTTATACCTACTTGAAGCTGCAAGGACCTGGTTTAAGGAGGAATCTAAAAGTTTATTGTTTGGTTGAGAAATTTCATCTAAGTTAATGGCAATTATAAAAAAAAATAGCTTAGGTTTAAAGCTTTCCAATGATGTATCAAACTTAGTACATAAATGTTATTTAGTTAGGAAAAAAATTAAAAAGACCTCACTTTAAATATATATGAAATGTTAAATTTAATTAAAATTTACTATATATTATTTTATAATTGTAAACTATTCTACTTATTGTTAATTTATTTATTTATTCATTATATATATAGATCACCCAAAACCTTCTCATAGCCTATATGGAGATGAAAAATTGATACCTCCACCAACAAATTATTATCAGCAACAAAGTGGTAGAAATATACATTCTTCAGGTACACAATCACAACATCAAATGGTAAAAAATAAAAAAATAAAATTCTCATCAGATCCTTTTATCAATTTTTTTTTTTTTATCATTTAGTCTCAAAAAACACATAATTTGAACTATTTACGACAACCTTCATCTGCTGCGTCCCAACTCTCTCCTGTTGTTTTACAGCCATCTCAACATGTAAATAAATATTAACTATATATACATTTATAATATTATTTATTGAAAATAAAATTATAATAAAAAAAAAAAATTTAATAGGGATCATATTCAAATCCTACAAGCTCAATTACAGGGTATTCAGCCAAATCTCCAGGTCCTGTTACTGCTGTTACTGATATTTCTAGATATCCTCATCAATCACAAACTCAATCATCAAGGGATATGAATAATTGATTTGCAAAATTTTTAGTTTAAAAGTAATATAATTTTATAGTTGAAGAATGAAATTAAATGATATGCTCAAGCATAATTATGGTCAGTAAATGATATTTTCACAATTTTTGTAATAACCGTTCTCAAAAGTTATTATAAACAGTTTTTATCTTAGTAGATATAATAAAATTTATAATATTTAAATAAAAATATATGTAAAATATGTACTGAAAATAATAACTATGAAGATATTTCATTAATTAAAAACTGAGTTGACAATTGACATGAATACCATTCAAACTTTTTATTACTTCAATGTATACAATTTTTAAACAATTTATTTATGAATAAAAATAGGTTAATAAAGGAGAAGCAAATAATTCACCTCTTGTGTGTTAATTATAATCATAATTATTCTTAAAATATAATTTATTAGTAAAAAATTTACTTAGAAACTATAAACATGTTTGGACACAGCCTAGCAATATAAACTTTAAGGTTGACTAATATTTTTTTAAAAACTCTAGGATTGTTAATTTCTTAGAAAAAATGTAATTAGTAAATTTATAAATTTGATTTCTTCACAGTTATAATAATATCATTTAAATTATATTTAAAATAAAATCTAAGTATTATAACTTAAAGTTTAAAGTTGTGTAGTAAATATTCGTGCCTCACTAGAAATTACAAAATGATTATTTGTTTTAAACGTTTATTGAAAATAAATATACAGCGTGATTTCTTAAATACGCCTCACAAAATATCTTTAAAAATATTAGAGCTTATCATTATTTATTTATTTAATCATCTAAGATTGTTTATGCCCAAAAATAAGCATTCAATACAGTTTAAAGAATAATACATGTAATAATAATATTAATTAAAAAATAATAATACATGCACATATATAAATATTATAAATTATGTTTTTATAAAAATATATAGAAACATAATGAAGATTTAAACTTAATAAATAAATTATAACAAAGTAGCACTAAAATAAAATTAAACTTTTTGAAACTATAAATCTCCAACTAGGCAAGCGAGTCGTGGAAAAAATTTAAGTTTTTAAGAGTATTACAATTATTTAACATTCTATTGCCCAGAAAGAAAAACTATAATTTTGTCTTTGAAAATAAATATAAAATATTGACTGTTAACAGAGATTAACACCAGGCGCATTAAGCATAACTCTGGACAATCTACATTGTTATTTAGTTAATTAAAAATACCGTATACATCAATCTTAACAACAATAAAAAAAAATAACTTGCTTTCTATAAATTTGTTGGCCTTCAATATTTGTCGCCCCTTAAAATATGCCCCTGACAGTACCTTTCCTTGTATTTGCCTAGTAATTTCATCCATGACCGTAGAAAATAAGTAAGGGCTTAAAGCAAAATTTTAGTGCACTCCTACTCTTTCCCTAAAACCTTCTGTTACTCCTCCACACTTTTTACCCTTTTACAAGTGCCATCATACATATCCTCTACTATATAAATGTACCTTTTTTGAACTCCTTTTCTCATTAAAGAAAACTGGCTTATCATTAACTTTTCAGGCAAAAAAACCAAACTGGTTTTTTGTTATTGATGTTTTTCCTCTTATTCTTTTGTCATTTTCCCTTCAATAGGATTTTATTAAAAAAATCCTTCAACCACCTTATGTCAACACCGCCTAAAATTTTTGATACTTTTACTGACACTTCATCTGGTCTTGCTACTTAATTCTTCATGTTAGTAACTAATAGTTACTATTATTAATTTATTTTATACATTGGTGACCTTAGCGATTCAAGACTATTTACAACTATATCTGAAAAAGAGCTATGTAATCAATTAGAAATACCACGTCAGGAATATACCCGTCTTGCAGTTATTCAACCACTTGTGCCTACAATGAATCGTGTCACAGTTAAATTACCAATTTGGTCTAAAAGGTCGACTGTATGGTTCTTTCAAGTGGACTCGATATTTCCAATATCGGAATATCAAGTGAGGAAACTAAATTTAATCATGTTGCTTAGCTGGATACGCGTTATACGATGAAAGTATAAGATATAACTAGTCGGGTACCTACCAAATGCTACAAACACTAACAAGTACTGATAGAATCAATCTCTGAAGAACGAGGTCAGCTTTTAATTGAGGAAGAAATATTGAGATACAACCTGCACCCCCCTAATTTGTTAAAATGCCCTATGCTGGGAATACACGTTCATGTTTGTAGTGGCGCCATCATGTACGCCAGTAACTGTTTACACAGGTTCGCACCTAACTCGCCATTTCATTACTTTCGTTGTAAATTTGAATGACTGTTGTAGTTCCATGTTTCAATTATTATTCAATATTTTAATTTAATTAACATGTGGCTGAAAAGGAATTTCATTTTCGTCATGCATGTAAAATAGTATTAACATTTTTAATTGAAGATATCAAATTGGATTTACAAAAAAAGAAAAGGTTAGTTTAGGTAAGAAAGTGGATTAGTAGAAGACAACATTTTGGAGCATAATACAAACAACATCTGTAAAACTGTTATTACAACTCTGTACATACCACGAATTTTCTTTTATGAAATTTGGATTACGAAACACGAGACAGATTTTCCAACGGTCTTTTGTCAAAATAATCAATAGATAAAGCTTCTGCTACACATATATTAAATATATTACAGTACTTTTTAAATCAAAAGATAACCATATACATTTGCGCATCCTATTTAAAAGACTTTCTGAATACGGTGTAATTATTAATCAGTAGAAATGTGTGTTGGGTGCTACTTAAGTCATATTTTTCGGATATTTTGTTTACTGAAGAATCACTAAGCATCTGGAGTATATATTCTATGCGAATATCTTCTGCTTAAAACAATGGAGAGATTACGCCACTTTCTGGGAATTGTAAGCCTTTATCGCCGGTTCCTTCCAAGGCCATAAATCTACAAGCACTATTCATGACATCTTGAAAGGACCTAAAACAAAATATGATCTCAACCTATACAATGGTCTTAGGAATTGTGGGAAGCGTTTGCACTTTCTGAATTCACCCTCATTGGACGAATATTTTGGTATTGTCATAAATACATCTAGTTAATTCGTGGGCGAACGTCTTCAGCACGTAATTTATAACAAGTGGTAACCAATAGTATTTTTCTTAAAGAAAATATCTGCAAAATTAAATACATTGCTCGCATATTAAGAGAATTACTATCAGTTTTAGGATTATCAATTTATGTTAACTGTGGATACGATGACTGGACAGACCTACGACCCTTCTTATCACTAAATTCGATGTCGTGTGTTTGATATTTAATTTAATAGTGTTAAAAATTATACATAATAAAATGTCTTAGAAATAATAAAATTATGAATTTTTTTTTAGGATATACTTTCTATTGAATTTTCACAATGCAAATATAATAAATGTATATTAATACCAAAACAATAATTTCTTAACATACTTCACAATAATAAAACAATTTAATTATACTCGATAGATTTTTTTTTAATAATTCAGGTAATCTTCTTAAAATTATATTCATAATACTTTATAAATAAGTGAACAATCAAATATCAAACTCTTGAAATCGTATCTGCATAAAATTTGAATTTCCTGGTTCTTTTGAAAACCCAAAAGAGGTGTACCAATTAACATTTTTATCTTTACATTCTAATGAAACCTTGTAACATTTTAATATTTTTGCCAGTGAAACTAACTTTTGGACAATGCTATAAAAACATAAATATGTTAAATTATTTTAATATCATCTGCTTTATAATAATATAAATTTCTTACGTTTTTCCAAATCCTTTACTTCTATAATCAGAATTTACAACAATATCTTCAACTCTAGCACGCTATAAATTAAAATTTTTATTAAAAGAAAAGGAACATAATTTTTTTTCATTAATGCAAATATGAAAAATAAGTAATATGTATAATTTATAAAGCCAAATTAAAATTTTGAATTATAGACAAAAATTATTTTTTTTAAAAAATGAGTTTAAAATCTTTTTAACATAATATACATAAATATTAAGTAGGAATATAACTCAAAATTTCTTAAAGTATTTTATACAGAGCAATTGATTAATTATTTTATAAGCTAATTTTAAATTTAAGTTGCTATTTAAAAAATTAAGTTTGTATCCTTATTAGGGATAAGTGATCTAAAAAATATTTAACTACTCATAAATCAAAAAATAAATACTACATTTTATTACAAAACCTAGATTTTTTTTTTCAAATCTACTATTATTTTAGGAGAAATTCAGTGGGCAGCGTTGAATAAATTGCCCTGATTTTATAATATGACTATCTTAACCATATAAATTTAAAATAATGTTATCAATTAAGTTATGCTATAGAACTTGTGTATTAAATATTAATATAGTATACTGTGAGAATAGTTACATAACTCATCATTTTTTACTTTTCTCTAATTTAGTACTAACATAAATAATAAAAATTAAATTTTAGGCTATGAAAATTTCATTAATTTTATTGTATTTTCTGTTGAAGGACTTTTGTAAAATTAACAAGTAACAGAATAACATAAGATTGTTTAATTTGTTTTATCTATCAAATAGTTTTTTTCCAAATTATGTCACTACTGTAAGCAATCTGGGATATTTAGAATGGCTATATTTACTAATATTGATTAATATTATACTATGTTTAAAAATATTTCATGAATGAGAACTTAATTATTGTTTATAAAACATTACTTGTTCAATATTTTAAGACTTGAAGGGTTACTATGATAAAACTTAATGTAAAAATTAAGAAATGAATCAACTTAAAATTAAAAAAATATGAAATATATCTAACTTGTCCACAAGAATGAATGAACTTTCTTTCTAAAATCAATGACCCAGAAGCTACTACACGATTGCAATGTAAATCATGAATTACTATAATATAGTACATTCCATCTGAATTCTTCATTTTGCTAAATGTATCTAAAGTAAATAAATCATTCTTCATGAAATTATTTATATTATTTATATATATTCATATATAAAATAATTAATAACTCACCATTAAACATTTCATATGAAACATTGCCAGTTGAAGTAAGTTGAGACAATAATTTAATATAATCTGTAAAGTATTAATGCATTTAACAAATCATTAGATTAAAATTCTTTTTAATAGAAGCATACCTATTTTGTAGTCGTCTTGACAGAGTGGCCGTATAACATATCTTTTGTGTTCATTGATTTTTTCATTAGTTAAAAAGTTACATAAGTTTCCCTTTTTAGGTGACAACAACTCAGGATTAAAAAGGTATTCTTTATTTTCTTGTTCCATATTTTCAAAAATTGAAAATTTGCTAAGTGTTTGGTCGTGTTAGAAAAGTGAAGTGAAAGGTTTAAATAATATGGAATTATGTTAGGTTCATTAGAGAAAGTAATGCATTAAGTGTCCTTCGTAACATTAATATTATTCTGTGAATTAACTAAATTATGTTAAAGCGCTTGTCTTGATGTTATAATTTATATTGATTAGTGATGAATGCATACTTAATGTCAAGGTTACGAGACGTATATTTTTTTAGTATGTTAATGGTTTATAGATATTTTATGGTGTTGCAAATATTTGACGTAAGTGAAAATAATTTTAATGATATATCATATATATGATACTCATATCAAAAAAATCACGCGGCATTCGACAGGAATGTGATAAGGAGTACTTCTTCGAACGTGCCGCAGAATAAATAAGATCTTTTCCGTCGATATACTAGTGGTTGAAAAGGGTTATTAAATAAAAAATTAACCGTTTGTAAACAGATAGCGCTGAATGAGTTACATTTTATTAATTTTATAGCAATATTATTCATGGATGATATACGTATACATGTCTACATCATATCTATCTTAAATAATGTAGTCAGAGACTTAATGATAAATATATATAATTTAATATAATACCTCATTCTCATACTAATGTTATTGAAAGTATTGGTGCAATAACTAGATATACCTACTGTAACCTAATTTTTTTATGAATATCAGTTAAACCAAATTAATACTTCACTTTAAATTTTTAATACGTTAGAAATAGAGTAATTAAGAAACATAGGGCAAAATAGGCACATGAAATAAAATAAAAGCTCCGTTATCTTAATACTAGCCGTACTAAAATTTTTCTGTGAAAAACTATCCAAGAATTTTAGTATTTTAATGTTTATTATTCGTGGTAGCGTAATATGATCAGTAAAAAATAAAAACTTCGACTATTTACAAGGTAAGTCACTAATTTTATTAGAAATATCACTATTTTGTTAAAAAAACATGTATCAATAATATTTTATAACATTTTCGGTTTATCACAAAATCAAATTACTATTTATTCTAATTGGTACAAAATGGAAATTGCTGCTTGGGACTTTAATGAACAGTCTTATTTTGTTTCACAAATTTGAAGAATCATAAATTAAATAAATATGTATACTATTCAATGAAAATTAAATCGCACTGCGAGTACATTAGTATAGTAACTCAAAATTTGTAGATTTTGGGTAATTCATGTTTATTTTATGATAAAATTACGCCTTTTATATCTATTAAATTGTATGTTTAATACAAATAATAACATTGTCTATTAACAGGGAATGATAAATTCGTTCTATGTATTAATATATTATTTTAAGTTAATACGGTTGTTATATTCTGAATTGTTATACTAGAGAAGTCACGGTGCGAATTGATATATAATGTAATTTATTTATAATTATTACTAATTGATCAATTTTAAATAGTCCGGAAGTATTTTTATTTAGAAATGTACTTAGGCGATATTTAATTCGAAGTTCAAAATAATAAAACTTAGTTTTATATATATATATATATATGTGTGTGTGTGTAATAATTCTATCCACTACGCCAGTTTGTTTCACTGCAAAAGCTAAATAGAATGTTTTTTTAATTTGAACTTAAATTTTAAAACATTTTTTTTTAAATGTATAAAATATTATTTTATTAAATAAATGGTATTTTATAGTATCATGAATTTTTAACTGTGTTGTAGTTTATTTTCATTCAAAAAAGTAATACGAAACATTAAGTCTTATATTCCTTTACACAGTTTTAAATTCGGCATTAATTTTTATAAATTTTGAAAAGTTATTTATATTATCTGAAAAAATAAAATGATAAAACGTATGTAACTGGTTGGATGTCAATGCACTATTGCCTTAATTTATTTATTAATAAAAACAATGACTTGTAATGAAAATTTATTTGGTTTATATTTAATCAAAACAAATAAAACTGTAAATCAAAATAAATGCATTATCTTCAATTTGATTCCTAACTAGTATTTAAAATTAGGTAGTATCTAAGTTCCCTGTAAATTTTTTTGCTTTTTGAAGGTAAATACAAACTTTTCGGCGATTATTAGTCCTTCTCTGGTTTAAATTTTTAGTTTGTAAAAGTCTTATGTCTTTACAACTAACAAATCTATATTAGATTTCTAAAATACTAGATTAAAAATGAATTTGTATTCAGCCTCGTACTATCTTAATTAAAAATGTTAAACAATTTTACTTAATTAATTAGCCACAAATGATCAATTTTTATTATATAATTTTTAAATCGCTTAACCCATTCGATAAAGGAACTTCATCTACGCAAAAAATAAAAATATTTACTTGGAAGTAGTTAAAGTAATAATCTGAATTTTAATGTATCAATAAAAAGGTATTTTAATTTGAAAAAAAAAAACCATAGTTATGGCACCCCGTTAATGGTTTAATATGCAGTTACTAAAGAACATAACTCCATAGTATTATAATCGATAGAAAATAAATACATATTTATATACATATTTACATTTGGATATTTATAGTAGGTATCATTTTAAATAAATTTACAATAAAAGCATTTAGAAATTTGTATTTAAAAAATAACAAATTATCATATTTTGGAAACGATTATCAAAATGTTGATAATGATATCGTATCTTAGCAATAGTCACAACATTTATTCCTTTTCACTTAACTATCTAGACATAGAAGATTTTTCATATTGCCTAATGTCAATTCATTTAAGGCGTAATAAATAAGTTGATTTTTATAATTTCCTATTAATCTATCTATGCGACACTAAGTATGAAGTTATTCCAATTGTGGCAATGACACAGATGAGAGTAAAATGCAGTGGTGTAATTAGAGGAGTTTAAGAATTCTATTAAAATCCTTAACTGGCGGTTAATCGCTCTACCAATCAAAAATGAATTTGCGGGTTTAGGGCGTTATTTAGGGGTGGGTACGGTGAGCCATCGCCTGCTCAGTCTTTTGAATGGTCCAAAGAAATAGGTTCTGCTAATTAGTATTACCAATTTTTTGATAATATTCTTTTTTTAAACCTTCTGAATATGCAGTTGTCTTGCTTCAAATTCACTCACCATAATAAACGCTTTCCACTATCCTCTTGTTAACTCGACTATTATATTCTGTTTCACAGAGTGTTTTAATTTAGTGCAAAATATTTTCATAATATAAGTAGCGAGAATCTAAAGAACAAAGTTTTTTTCCAATGAACTTGTAATGAACGACTGTTCATAGTGCATGAACAGTCGTTGACCATTAATTAATAAAAACTAAATTGAAAAAAAATCAACATTTGAGATAGTTACAAATAGTAATCTGTTTTTTGCATTTTTTCGTGACGTAGGAAATTACCGAGGCGCTCAAATGTTTTGCACGCCGTGAAATCTGTAGACTGTAGATTATTAACTATCAAAGATTTCTTATTTCACGTTATCTTTTTTTATTAACTAACAAATAACGAGAGAAATAATGCTGTGTAATCGCATGTAAGACATTAACTGCCAATGTTGTTGCAGTATCCAAATATTTAACCAGTAGACAATAAAGTACACTATCTTTTTTAGTTGTCAATGTATCGTAAAGCCTATGTGTGTGTTATACAATTGAACGAATAGCAAAAGAAATAAACTGTTATGCGATATTTACAACCGTAAAGTTAAAAACTTCACCCTAAAATATTTCCAATATACGACGTGTAAAAACGTCCATTTGTAAACCATTTTACAAATTGTTTTGTTGAAAAATTCATGGTAAATCGTTTACTTCGTATGCATATACATGTATATTTTTTATTGTTCCGAAGATTGATATATAAAATTGCTAGACTGTTTTATGTCTAACATCTGTGTTGTCTAGAAAAAAACATCTGCAAAATGCAGAGTGTTACATTATTGTATTTCTAATTTTTATTACACCCATAACCTTTAGCGTGCCCATATTTATTAATGCTCTCATTATTTTTACCAGAGCAAATAATTAACAGATACCAATTTGTTTGAGACCTCTCATTAAAAAAAAAAAAATATGTCCACCGAGTTGTTGCCGTGACAATCGTTCATCCACACCGAACACTATCTAGACAGCAAACGTCGCGTTGCAGGTGAAATCCAACGAGCATCGCACATGACTGTTTTCAGTAAACGCATACGAGGGGTCGATTGGTTGCTAATGTACACACACACTTGTACGCGTGACAACGTCGGGAAAAACAAAATAAAACGTTGAAGTGTAATTATGGTCATCTATGAAAATCAAAAAGGAAAATATTTACTAGAAGGAATCATTTCTTCGAAACGCTGGTACATCATAATGCGATGTTAATTGTACGCGGTAGCTTGTGACCAAACAGCTACGGTGATGATTTTATAATTTATAAGTTATATGAAAAAAAAAAAAAAAACGTGCGACAATGTTAAAGAGAAGAGAAAACAGTGTGGGCGTCCAGAAATTATGTTTGGGAATGCATTCATACTATACATATGTATTATGTTAAGTAACTGTGTATGCAGCAACATTGAGTGTGTATGGCTCGTGCCGCAGAGCCAAGATAATATTCTAAGAATATATATAATAAATATAAAACGTATATGTTCATAATATATTAATTTAACGGTACACCAGAAACAGTGTACATTGATACAGTAAACTACTGGACAATGTGGTTGTGTGACGATGGCGTACCAAGAAGAATAATTAGTATAATATATAATTTTGTGTATAAATATTATAAAAGAGCGTTGACTGTCACGTTTGAAATTTGTGTCTAATCTAAAATCATCATTTCCGGTTGATATACTCAAGTAAAACTAAAAAAAAACGTGCGCTCAACTCATTGGCAAATCTGTCGAATCCGAATATTTCCTTTGGTGTCCACATGTTTGTTTACATTTATACGAAATATTAGGAATAGGTCAGGGGCAGTCCAATAGTTAAATTTTAGGGAGGCGTCGAGTAAATTTGTCTATTGTCGGTAATTTGTCAACCAAATTTGGCAATTTGCCTAATACCTTAATGAGTAGAAAGTCTACAACATATTCTAAAAGAGCCGACCACCGATGAGTTAAAAAAAAATGTAGGGGTGTGACATTGCCACATCATCTCTTCAATCACATCATTGAAAACCGCGAATTTTTAAAGGATGCTAAAATCGACGGCAAATAGAGAATGTAAGGAGCGATAATTTTTGAAGTTAGTTTAAAAATATTTTCGAACTTGGCGTTTATTAGAGCATTTAATGACTAATTTATTTTCAACTTTGTTTATGGTTACAAAATGTGGGTCTGAAATCGCATTAAATTGAATATTTCTCTTATAATTTTATGAAATGGACACCTTTAGTTGAATAATAAATAATTGGATGAAGATTCGTACAGATAGCTATAATGATGCTGGTTCGCCATTAAAAGCATTGATGTTGTTACATTTGATTTGTCACCAATTTTATTCATAGTACTTGTTATGGATGTTTAATTGACCACGATGATAAAATGACAGATTAATGTTTTTGTGTTAACGATAGTGACGTTTATTAATTTACAATGCACTTCTTAAAACACTGTTTTTCTAATTCCACACAGGGGGAATTCGATTAGAGCTAGGAGCACTGGCGTCCCTTAAATGGTATTTCCCGTTTTAAATTGATTTTAAGTCGAATGATTATTCATAATGCAAAGCGGCAAAAAGATATGATCTTCTGTGTAATTATTGTCTATCAGTTAAATTTGAAAGACAGTCGAAATAGTTTCAGTGTTCCCGAGAGTCTTTTATTACCAACTCGTTATTTATAAGATCGAAAAAAACATTTATTACTTCACGAACATAAACATTGTATCTCGATGACCTTCTGAAAAACAACAAATAAAAATCTATTAGGCAATTATAGGATTAATATAAATTCACGTCCCATAGAAAACAATACACAAAAGAACACATGTTACTGGACAATTCAAGAGACAGTTCTCATTGAAAACAGACATTGTTGTTTAAAACGAATGAAAATGAAATATTGAATATAAACGTTTTTTTTATCTATAAAAAAATACTCACGAATAGTATCTACCTATTACTAGTTAATAATCAACTAGTGAAATAAAACCGAATTAATTTATACAAAGCATTGATTAATCACATTTTGGTCCGAGTTTTTTGTACCGAAATATCAATCGAACAGTTTTGGTTCTCACCATTACAAATAGTAATGTGTAATATAATATTATGAAGTGTATTGTAAATGTATACAATTATGAATTTATGCGATGAGAAAAATCGAAACTCAACATTGGGAACGAATAAATTTGCCGACTATTTATTATTTTATAAAAAAAAATCTATATATATATATATATATATATATAGATATATGTTTTTTTTATTTATATATAAAAGGAAAATATAACTGACTGTCATTAAAAAATGATTTCAACAAAACTCTATTAAGTTAATAAAACATTGTACGATGAAAATAGTACTCAAAATAACTGAAATATTTACAATACAAAGCTGAGAGAAAAATGCTGTTAATTTAATAAGCAAAGGGCTCTTCTATTTGTGTTTGACAATAATAAGAAAATGTATACTAATTGAAACGTACAAAATATTTGTAGGCTTTTTTCCTATTCTAATATTTTTATATTTTATGTAAGAATCTTACTTGAAAATAAAATATGTATCTTTGTATATTTTTTTTTATCATGATGCAGATAAAAATTGTAATTAATTGTTTGTTACATTAACAATTGAGAATTTTTACAAAAAATAGTTTTATGTTTTAATTTTGTAATTAAAAAAGAGATTCAAAAAAAAAGAGCGAACTGTTCGAACTAGTACACAAATGTCATTTTTCAGGTAACTTTAGCGGAAGATAACTTTTGCAAAAATGTATCCAGAAAAATAAGATAAGACTTAAAGGGATTTTCACTGGGATATGAAATTTTTGATCATGCATTGATCGATTGGATCAATATTTGGTTTCACATTTTGAATTGCATCGGTATAAATTTTTTTTTTTATATAAGACAATTATTTTCACTACCAACACTTTTTATTGGTTGGGTTTTTCTGACTCTAAATCAGTGATAGTTAAATTAAATAACATACATTTTAATATCATAACTTTCAATGTACTTTTAAAGTATAATTTTATAGTTATTAAAAAAAAAATGTGGCTATTTTAAAATAGAGTGAATCGCCAATTATCATGCTACAATGTAACTACACATAGATACAAGTTGCTACATTAATTATTTTATCTTTGTTTAAAAGTCCACCGGTCGAAGTTGTGCTTATTTCTATTTTATTAAAATGTATTTGATTTTTAGTGTTTTGGTGATTTTAATTTTTGACAAATTCACGAATATTTTCAATTGACTTACAAAATCAGAAAAAAAATCAGCTCCAACAAAAGACATTGTTTTAGTTTTTGAACGGTCTAAAGTCAAATCTTTACTTAGTGTCCGAGACTTATTACCATGTTATCAAACGAGCGCATATAAATTGTACGGTGTGAACACTCATTTCAATATACACAAACTGAACCGTTTTCTGGTTCCGGTTACGACCAGCATTTAAGCCCACATTTGTAAGCCAGCAAATTTACCCTTTACCCCCCGGCGGCAAATTTATGGTTCATTTTAGGGAGCGGTAAATTTTTATGAATCACCCTGATTACGTATCCCGGTATTACGTAAAAAATTATATGTTCCGTAGTCGCGTTCCTACTGATTATATCTTTTTTTTTGCTCAAAGGTGCGCTTAAAAAAATTGTCCAGGGAGCGCCAAATGTCCATGTGCGGCCCTGCCAGCGTTATACCGTTCCGGTAATTATTCTTAAGGGTAAACACTACTGTTACCAATAACGCAGCCACCACACGAGCAACACTCGTACGCGTATTACAACAGTGTGTGTGGCCCGTAGCGCGCACACGCGTAGGACAGACAGTAGACAGAGTACATAATACATTATGTATACACACTTCTCATTTTATAAACGTCCAGACAAACAAGTTTATATTATAGCGAGAACGTGCGACACTCGCCGCTGTCGCCGACAATAAAATTAATATTACGACGGACAAGATGACATAATTGTATATTTAGACGGACAGCAGACCGACTGATAAATGCGCCAAGATGCGTGTCGTTTTGCAGACATTGTGTGGTCGGCGTGTGGTAATTAAGCCGTCCCTCGGAGTCGGTATGACCGTTTGACTCGGATGATAGGCGCATGCGGCAGCCGATAACACAGACTCGCCGCCGCCGCCGCCGCTACAACATTGAAAGTCGTAGCCCCCGCCACAGTCGCGCATGTGTTCGGTAACGATTCCGGGACGGAAAAAGCGGCGAGGGCGGATAGCATAGTGAAGGGACTCCTAGCGGTCCGTTACGGCGATACGATAAGTGGGGTCGCAGCGGTGGAGAGGTACGGCACTCCACTCCGGCTTTCTCTGTCCGTTCGCCCTCACACCGGAACCTCCCTCCAATGCAACTAACCGAAAATACGATGACTACGACAGGGATCCTCCCTCTGCCTCCCCGCTGCCGCCGCACAATAATCGTTTCGTTATTATTATTATTTTTTTTATGTTTTGGCATACTTCGCCGTCGCCGACACCGCCACCGCGGCCGCGGCCGCCGGAGTACAACCGACGATGGTAGTATTAAAACGGCGGCGGCACTCGCAACATCAGCCGAAATCGTGCCGCGTAAGCGATACTTTGAAAACCACTAGCACTCGCAGCTAGTACAGTGTATAATAGCTCCAGCTCTCTCGGCATAGTCACAATTGGGTCCGCGCGCGTGCCATACACACATACATTCGTCAGTCGTCCCGTGTACCCTGTTATTGGTAGCGTGCGCGTTTCCGTGCCGATTGCAACCGATCGATTAATTTTTTTTTTTTTTTTAACGACAATTATTTTGTGAAACACCAACCGAAAACTACCACTTCTGTTCCTCGGTGGAAACGTGTTATTGGAGGAAAACCCGTACTGGTTCGATGTAACATCTTCGCGTTACAGTGAAGAGCACACGGTCGTATTAAATTTTGGTCCTCGGCAATTTGTTCGTGTATTGCTCGAAATTAGATGGTAAAACACATTTGTTGAGGTCCCGTCGACGATTTTCTGTTCAGTTGGATATATTTTCCGGTTATATTATGGTAATACGCGTGGAAAACTACCAAAATGAGGTCGGGAGGCTGAGACAACGGCGGCGGCGGCAGCAGCAGCACGTGGTGTCCGGATCGATAGCGACCGTAGAGATAAGAAGTCTAGTGAAGCAAAACCAGACGGATCTATTGCTTTGCTGATAATAACGAGCCTAGGTAAGGTGTTTTTAGTACAATCGCGTTGTAATTTATGAATGAGTTAGAACTAAAAGTCAAAAAGAGTCGATAATTATTTGCAAGTCGCATAATTCGCTTACTAATTATCGGCTAGACCACGAGTGACACGCGATTTTTTTTTTTTTTTCATATCTACCAAAAGAATTTTTTTTACTGCGTCGCCAACCCGTTCATGACACAAACGCCATACCTCGCTATTAGTATTAAATAACTGAAACACCGCTTGATAAAGCATCATGCTGTCCTTCGCACGGACTGGCTTATCATGTTATCTCGAGTTCTCATTCACGTACACGTCCCTTTCGACGCGGAATTTTCATAAATCCAACAGAGAGCGATTGCGCTAAATGATAAAGGTGGGCCGAGTGTTTACCGTCGAATGAAATACTAGTCGGACATGGCGAAGATCATTGCAGCCAGGTTTTCTTAGTATCGGGTGTTATCCATTATCTAAGGTGGCGTGTATTGAATGCAGGCTATTGTTTACAGATTCATACGGTCGTAATAGATCCGTCGACAGATACGCTCGATCAATGATTGATCGATAACATAGTGACACCGACAACAACATTTTGCGGCCGCAGAGATATTATGCCATTTACCCGTCAGGCGAAGCAGCCTACGGTGGTGGCTGTGTTGGTGTTTATGTCATTGGCCGTGTTTGCCGAAGCGATCGTACCGACATCGGACACAAAGGCGAAAACCGCAAGGATTACTACCACTTCTACCGTATCGCCGGCAGGTAAGATGAATTTTTTTTTTATTGGGATTTTTATGGAAAACAGTCAATAAGTAATCACGATGTGAAAAATCGGCGGTCGCCGTCAACTTTCTGTCCGATAAAACCAACAGCTCAGTGGCCTCGTGTCCCGTGCATGTGTAAAAGTCGGCGTACGATAGCCGCCTAGTTGTCTGCTGCCGCCGCCGCCGCCACTGACCGTCAATGCAAATTCTCTGTGTCACGGGCACGCGCTAACACGCAGACAATTTTTTTTTTTTTTATATATAACCGAGTTTGAATGCGTAATAATTTTTTTAACGTCTGCCGCAATACCCTTGCCATCAATCCCTGCCCCTAGCGCATTCGCCATAGAAAACCTGAAATTTTCCGTCGTTTAGCGACCACACGCATATAGCAGCACAGCTGTCTATCATGTTACAGATTCGAGTCGAATGATTTTTTTTATGAATCCGATATGGCGTCGCTGAATACATACTTATACCGTCTGTGGCGAGTGCGATCGTGGCCAATAATTGGTAATGACTTTTGCCACTCGGATCGTGTATGATAATTTATATTATTGTAATATTATTATAATCAACTTCGGTCGTTGAATAACCAGAGACATTATTTTTGAATTTCAATACAGCTAGAAACGAAATGGAGTCAAGACGGCGACGTGGCGCTGAATAATGCTGACACCGGTCATACATAGGTTATACTTTTTCGCTATGTAGATGCACATGTATTACATGACATTACTCTGTCATTAGCGTTTTCCATATTGACCAATGACCTTCGTAAAAAAAAAAAAAAATAATAATAATAATAATAATAATAATTAACGAGTGTCGGAGAACTTGCTATTATTCATTTCTATGTTAGGACTCGAAATTACTGAAAAGTATTACATTCACGCACAAAAAATAAACCGTTTTCAATTGATCGCAAACCTAATCAATCTTACTGATCTCCTCCAACTTGGCTGATAAACGCGTTTTTAAGTCGCTAAAAATTCCAGTCTTGTCGAACAATACAACTATTTTTATGTACCGCGTCCCCTGGCCGTCTCCATATTTTACACGCAATTCAATATTACTGTTTAGTTTTAGCGACACAATAACGGTCCGTCAATCATTATTAATTTCACCGGTGTCGTGTGTCATTTCAACCGCCGGCCAGCTGACGAACACACACATACGACAATAACCATTTTCCGTCTTGCACATCTCAATGCACACGGTTACCGCACGCCACCTCTTTTATTACAATATTCCCTTAATACGAGGCGCGCGTGGCGCAACATAAGCGCACTTTGCCGGTAAAAACCTTAAAACCATCATCGGTAGTAAGACGTATCCAGTCACCTGCACTAGTTAGGGTATCTTGTTCTCAGTAACACGATATAGACGCGCGCGTGTATTTATGTTCAGTCATTAATTTCCACCGTCGCCCCGTTATTGTATACGGCGGCACATGTCGCTGTTGTGTTGTGCGCTTACACTAGTTACCCAGCAGCTGTGTGTATCAGTTTATCTAGCGGCACGCGACTGGAACGCAATGATCTCCACATGTGTGGGCGGCGGACCGTGAACATCCAGCGGGGCTAGATGAAAACGATCTCTTTCTGCTGCCTTCGCACGGTCCGGAACCCCAAAAGTGCACAGTTCAAATGCAAACGGTCGAGTTACCCGCCCGACAATTTGTCGTTTTTTTACGATTATTATATTTTTTTTAGAACTACTGTAGCGGCCGCATGTCTGCCGAGCGCCACCGTTGTCTCTGCGCTTGTTTTTTCAACACGTGTCCCTATCGAGTTATCGTTACACAACTTCGCACGTGCACAAAACTAGTACATTTATTTATATTTTTCGTGTATTGGCGATTTTGAGGACGCGACGACACCGATACGTGTCCGCGCAAAACTACACAAGCCAGTAATTGATGACAATTCCGTTTGACACTTCACAGGCTTAATACTACGAATTACGCAACACACACGACGAAGAAGCGCGTAGCTCGTCGGCCGCGAGTTCGATAAACTCTGATTTTTCGTATGGTTTTATTCGTGTCCGTCGCATCTCTCTGTTCTTCCACGAATTTGTTTCTTTCGTTTGTTTTTTAACTTGAGCGTTTACCATCACAACGCGAACGTGTTTACCAGTCAAAAGAATTATAAATAAATTACTCGAAAGTGTATAATAAAACTGAAGGGTCTGCCGATGATTTATTAATAACCGTCGAACACAGTAAATCATTAGCATTCACATGTAACAATAATCATTACCCGTGGAAACGGTTAACATGACTTCGCGGTACGTTATAGTACAATGTCACAAGGCCCGTAGATATTTTACGACCTTTTCGGAGTAGCTTACCTTATGCAAGGGCGTTTTCTTCATTTGAGCACGCCGGTGGCCGAAAGAAAACCAACGAATCAATAATAAAACATCTTAACAAATTACTTAGAATATAGAAAAATATATCGAAAAAAAGTAATTTACCAATCAATGACACACACCTTTCGCCTAAGCGAATTTCTGTCTCGCGTTTAATGTCTCTGTGTACAAAACGACTAGTTAAATAAAATTATATGACTATTAGAGGGATGATTTGGCCCTTTGCACATTGGAGAGTTTTCCCACAGTACTGTTTTGTTGATGATGTAAAGTAACACAATTTAGGGCAAGTCTGGTTCAAAATACTCGTGGAATGTGGACTAGTTTTAGAATTATCTTGTACATACAAAATATTCCCGATTCGCTCCTTTTATTACTTACAGTAAATATTTAAAAAATGGATTTACACTAAAACGTCCCAAAGGACCTTCAATTGAAACGACTTGTCGTTTATACTCGAAACATTAAAATTTAACAGAAAACTGTGTACAATTATAATTAAAAGCACGACAGTTTCTCATATATTTCTAAATGTTTTACATTTTATGTCAAAACCCCATATCATGACTGCGGTCTTTTTAATAAATTAGTTAGTACATTAAATGGTCGGTAATCTATTCTTAAGGGATGGTTGTTATGTTTAACTACATTTTTAGCCTCGGTGCTTCCATACCGTACAAACACGAAACACTCTTTATTCAATTACTAAAATTATAAAAAAAAAAAATAGACGAAAGTATCTAAAAAAAGCTTTATGGTACAATAAAAACCTTTCAGACTTCACTGTGTGCTAATGGATTTCCATAACAACTGTACGTTATAGAGGGGTCGAAGTCGTAACACATCGTTGAATACATAATTTTATAAGTATAAACACTTTGAATAGTTCTTAAATAATTAATTAACTGATAATTGACATGTTTGAAAATGTCGTAACGTAATGAGCTCGTAAAAGATGTCGACAGAAAGTTATTATACGACTTCAAACCTTCAGAGCTCAAAAATAACTATCCATGTGATTGTTGATAAATTGTTACGTCATACTCACCAAAACGGTCTAAAAACATAGAAGCCGAGACTGAGTACGATTGCTTATGTTGAATGATTTGATTGGTTAAAAATAAAAATAAAATTAACTACGTCGGAAAAAATTAATGTTCATTTATAGTTTTTTCCACTAAACATACATAATTTTTACTATAGCCGTAAGAAAATAATCAATTTTTTCTACGACATGGTCGACTGAGTGAAAACAGAGTAGGTATATTGACCTATTATTACAGGTATTATATTATGCAGAATATCTGTGCGATTATAATCCCACAATTGTGATTTGTATACAAATCATAATACTATATGCATTTTTTGGTGTCAATTTTTTCAGAACAATCATTCGCAGTGTTAAAGTAACTGTATATACTCTACGTCAACAAAAACGATGTTAAAAATAGGATTATGTTATAGACTCAAATTTATTTTAATTAATTAGTAAGCTATTCTGTTAGAATAAGACATGCCAAAAGAATATGATACTTTCCTTTTGACTTTTTAAAATGGGTAATTATAGCTTAAAAATAGCAATGAAAGTATTCATTAATTAATAATATCTTACCACTGTAGAATAGGAAAATGTTGTAGAAGCATAATTTGTTAATAAGTATAACGTGATACCAGCATAGAAATATAAATAAGATTTACTATGTACACTTGAACATACAGCAATGATATTGCCAATTTAAACTTTATGTTAAACACTTTGCCATTTTGCTGTTTAAAAATCGAAGCGTTAATATTACACTTAAAATATTTTTTTATACAATAAAAGGGATATAACTTCAAATTCACGATTTGAGCTCCACTTTATGGAATTCATTTTTTTAATGACAAATATTTGAATATTATTATAGTATTGTATAATACTTGAGTATTATACAAATAGAATGATTAATTTTTCAAAGGATAATTTTAGGGTAACTTTTAAACTGAAAGTTTTGCTAAACTGTTATAAAAAAAAGAATAATTTATTAATTCAAATGGTTAATAATCGTTTTTAAATAGGTAGTTTTCATATAACTTCTATAGTTTTCATGAAAAATGAGAGAGCACGCAATATAAGGATATTTAAATCTGCACACAATTTTCATCGTCTCCTGTCCTCTTAAAAAGTGCTCATAAATATAAAATATACTTAAAATATTTGATAATATTTTTTTTATTATTTACATCTTGTGATATTATATTTTATTTTAAATGTCAAAAGTGAACCACAAGCATATTAAAATAATGGCATACAATTACTTAAATTAATTAAAGTACAATAAGTTTTCTTAGGGTGTCTTCTTAAATGAAATAATTCAGCAGCTTTTTTTTTTCTGAGGGGACGATAGTTGTAGCAAACTGTTCAATACAAACAAAAATATAATATTTATATTTTAATAACTAAGAAGTTAATTAAAATAGAAAAATTGACGTAGTAAATTAATTATTCCAAAGACTCGCTCAAACTATCTTCTGAAGTTCTAACGGTGTTTAGAAAAATATGATTAAAGCTATTTTTCATCAAGTGTTTTGCTTTCAAAAGATAATAATTTTAATTTAATTTGATTATCCTCTAAAGTTTCAACAAAAATAGATTATTTTTTAATATCTTCAACAAAATTTTTATCAAGTTATTTATGTTGAAACATAAATGAATAATAAAAAATAATTAATCAAATTTTGTAGGTGATATTGCACACAGCAGTTCTTTAAATATTATTAATATTTTATTTTTTAATGGCTAAGTATTTTTTCAAAATGCGACGCAATTAAAATGATCAGAAAAAAGTCAGGCTATTTTATGTTGTTGTTATTCGACAGCTTGTTTTTTAAGAGTTTGTTTATACTCTTCTTTTATTGAAGATAAAATAAAAAATATATAATGTCAAACATAACGAGAACTCTAAAATGGCTTACTTGGAATGTTTTTTTAATTAGTTTTTTTGTTTTACTATCATTAATATATTATGTTATGAAACATTAGTAAAGTATAAAAAAAATTCATTTATAATAGGAATTTATTACGAGTTTAGTACTTTGCTTTATTACGAACGAATTTGCCGCTGAAGTATTTAAATTTTGAAATCATAATTTCTCTTGTTGTAAATGAAATTGCCTCCAATGGACTTGAGGAAATCTAGTTTTTTGTGATTCCCGATAGGTTGTTTAAAAGACCCTCTTTAATATTGATGATGTACCTTACTCTCTTAATAATCTATTAATATTTTAAAAAATTATTACTTAAATACATTTCCAACACACTAAGTAAAATTATGATCAGTAAATCTTAATTAATGTGACTAATGAAAAAATTCCATTTTATTTTAGTTTACAAGTATGACCTTAATTTAAGACAAGAAATAATATAGCAATTATAATTTATCATTCGTATTTAAAGTGTTGTTTAACATTTGGAAATTCTAAAATTTAAATAGAAGTGTTTATGTTACTTCAATTTTAAGACAATTTTCCTATTATTATTTTCATGTACTTGCTGTTTTGTATAAGTGTCCAAGTGAGTGTTTATACTTTTAACAATAATCAAATGTTATAAAGCCATTGAAAAAAAAAAAAATTCCCAGCTGCACTGTTTAATTATATAAAAAAACACTGATAAGTTTCTATTTTCAAGGAGTTTTAGAAATTTTGTGACAAGCATTTCAAACAAAAATAAATTTCTAAACAATATTGACTATGTACTTTTATTAATTCACTAAAATACAATGTAAACAGGAGTTAGCAGGTGTTTTTCACCGAACCTTGATAACTTTAATTGAGGTGAAGCTTTGCAAATGAGAAGCCTTCGAGTTAAGGGTTTCTCTTCTATGCTTTCCTCATTTGATGGCGCAATCTATATCTTACGAATTTTAATGATTCTTTGAAACATAAAATATATTTTTTACTAACTTAAATCTGGTCATTCAAGTTCATGTTTAATTAATTTAATTGCTATCGGAAATTGTAAATACTGTCCAACGGAATTTATATATTTTTCTATAATAGTGTTGTAGGTTATTAATAAGTGAATTTACCATTAATGACTTCTGGGTAAACTTTAGCTGTCAAGAATACTTGAAATCGTTTCTAAAACCCTCAATTATTTGCTTATATTTAAGTATCTCTTATTCATAACGTTCAACACATTGATGCAAATAAAAACACATATGTTTTACTGTTTCGTTACAACACCGAGTTCAATGTTCATATTTTCTTTATTCGATTATAGCTGTCGACAGTAAAAAGATGAGAGGATTTTTCACTAGGGACAGAGTAAAATTTTATCCAGCCACCCACAAAAAAAAAAAGAAAGGTTGTTCATAAAATTTTTTTTCTGCATCACAATGGAAAAAAAAACAATTTGTAGATATAGAGATTATATATACTGAAAAAAACTTTTTAAAGTATGATTGATTTAAAAATACAAAAATTGTCTTAATTTGTTATTTTTTGTAACTCGAATTATTGATTATGGCTTTTATCATTTACGCCATTTACCATTAAGTTCTTGTTACCCAGATACCGATAGATATGCAACAGTATAAAATGAGAAGTATACTGTATAAAATAATGTACTTAATAGGAACCTTTTTTTGAGGTTTAACCTTTTTTTGTAAATACCAATACTAATCAGCACTCATCAAAGCAAATTTTTGTTTTTTAGCTTCGAGCACTTTTAGAATTATTTTTCACCACTGGCCGTCAATTATAAATATTATTTATAAATCAATCTTTTAAACAGTTAAAGCGTTATTTAAATAACCTTCTGGCGCAGAGAAGTATTGGCGGGGTTAAAATAAAGTCGTTAGTTTTGTAAATTTAATCGTAATTTGTAAAATAGAATAACAGCACTTTTTGCCACTAATTCTTTACATATAAATAAATTTTGGATATTTTTATGTGTTGCATTATAGGATTACTAATAGGTGACAATATAAACAACTTCATTACCAATAACGATCCTAGACCGTCATTGGCCGTTTTGGACTTACTAGAATCAACTATGCAAACTTATTACAATCATCATCGGCATCATTACGAAGGTCAGAATGAAAATGAAAAAGATAATAATGATTACACGATTGGAGTTATTCCTAGAAATGTAATGGAGGATGAAATTTCTTCCTCTACTGGCTTCGCGCCCAATCGTTTAAGACTGGCTTACATGATGGAAGGTAAATAGCGAATTACAAATTATCATCCGTTTAACTTTGCATTATGACTGCAATTGTAGTATTTAAACTCTTTGAAAAATAGGTACAACGAGAAAACTTAAAGTGCCTGATAACGTATACAGACGAGCTGTGGAAATAGTGAAGGACGCCTATGAGTTGACTATAGCGGCAGTTATTCGACAAGAACACGCCAACACGGGTTCTATTGTATCATTCTCTCAGGGTGCAAATAGGTATAACGTTTAAGAAATATATTTTAACCGCAAAATAATCATTTGGCTAAATTTTTTTAATATAGATACTTAGAGTTGGAGTCCAGTGGCCGTAGGGACGAAGTGAGGTTGCACTACATCGGACGAGGAAACCAACGGATTTACACCGAAGTGTTTCCCTATCCGCTGGCTGACGGTTATTGGCATGCCGTGGCTTTAACGTTAAGTGGAACTCAAGCACGTCTTTACGTCGACTGCCGGCTCGTCTACACGCGTACATTGCCGGGGGGGATAGCTGACACGAGATTTGCGTCCATGCCCGAGCTGTACGTCGGACAGCGAAATCAAGAACATTCCGTTTATAAAGTAAGAAGAACAACGCGTGAACATGCAGCGTGCTCAACATCGGCGCGATTGATTTTTGTTCACTTGAAAAATTATTTTTTTTTCTTCCATAGGGTGACTTACAAGATGTCAGGTTGATAAGAGGAGTAGACGGGCATCGTGTACAGTGCCCGAAGCTGGACACATCATGTCCAACTTGTGGACAATTCGCTGCACTGCAAAATGTCGTCGAACGGATACTCAACGATTTTCGTCTATTAAATGACAAAGTATTATTGAATTATAATTGTAGACTTTAGTTATGTATACTAATAAAAAACAACATTTTACTCTCTCTCTCTCTCTACTAAAATCAATACGCGTTTCAATATCAATAATGGGACTCTATAATTTTTTAAATGTTTATAGTTGTTTGTCAGTCACGAGTCTAACAAAAATTGTTCGCACCCGACCTTGCGATTTCTACCGTTGATTATAGTTGCATTGTAAATAATATTTGGTAAACTATACTAGGTAGCCGTCAACGAACCAAGTGTTCAAAGTCTAATAACTAATAGGACCCTCACCAAAATTGCTTCATAGTCAAAAATAATTGTGTGTCTTAAAAAGAGATCTCATGGCTATAATGTCGACTTGGTTAATTTTAAAAATATGAGTATTGAAAGTCAGCTAATTAGCTAAGGTTCATCAACGGTGTGACATACCTATTGTATTTACCTACCTACATAATTCAATAACAACCAATAATAATTTTTTGACCTTATTAAAATTTTATTTCCTGTTATTACATTCATTTTAACTAATTAATCACTTTTAAAATCTATGTTTACATTTTGAATTCGAGTCGATTCTGTCACACTTATTACAATCTTTCAAATATTACAAAAGTTTTGTTTTAATATTCTTCTCTCGAGAAAAGTTAACAAAGCCATAATTTCAAAAGAAACTTTTAATTTTCTTTCAGTTTGAAGCGGCTCAATTGGAAATAGCACAAATGCGAACTTGCGAATGTCGTAAAGCTTGTGTTGCTGTAGATAAGAATAATAACACCATTGTAAAAAATGACGGATCCACGTGGAAAAACGGCTGTGAAACATGTTCGTGTGTTGTAAGTATACCGGCGATTTTTTCAAGTTTAAGTTTTGATATACTTTTAAAAAGTTTTAAATTAATTCAACTTTTTATATTTAGCGTGGACAAGTGGAATGTTCTCCGATAACTTGTTTGCCTGTAAACTGTACAAATCCAGTGCGCAAACCGGGAGAGTGTTGCGATTCTTGTTTAGGTAAATAACGTTTTTGTCTAATTTAATGTGTTCTTTTTTAATCTTACATGTACTTGTTGTTAATAATTTCTACTACCTTTTCATATATTTTGTCAATGACAAATTTCACCTTTTTTTTCTTGATTTTAAACAAATCGCCAACTTTTATCATAAAAAATATGTCGAGTTATTAATTCTAATTGTACTGAATTTTAATGTTTCAGCATCATGTAATATTTCCCCTCATGGAATTGTCGAACATGGCAATTCTGTAAATTTAGATCCTTGTGTCAGTTGTGTATGTGATAATGCGGTAGCAAAGTGCACAAGAACAGAATGTCCGAAATTAAGTTGTCACGAATCAGAGCAAATACCTATACCCGATCAGTGCTGTAAATTTTGTCCAGGTAAGGTCTGATAATAGTTGAGATATATGAAACAAAATTAGACATGTCAATGAAACATAATTCACATTGAATAATGCAACTTAATTAATTTGTGTAATAGAAATTAGTTCTAATACTTCTTCCTCTAACTTTTCGACTTTTATCTTTTAATCTTGTTTTATATAGTTTTCCTTATCCTCTATACTTTTCATTTATTTAATATAAAGGAACTAATCATCGTCAAACTCATATTTAGAACTAATACAATACTTACACTAATAACCTCGCTTTGTTGTATGGTGTGTTAAAACTAATACAGATGTTGATTATTGTACAAGAGGTGGGCGCGACTTGTGTCATCCGAATGCAACATGCATCAATTTAAGAACCACGCACAAGTGCACGTGCGCCGTCGGATACAGTGGTTCCGGCATAGAGTGTGATGGTAACTAACCTACTAATCTTAACATTTTTTAGATTTAAATACATATGATGAATAAGTAAAATCATCATTGGGTTACATCAATTTTAGAATAGATCTAGGGAAAATAAATCCTTTTAATATTTAAATTGTTAGGTTTTATTTGGCAACAAATATTTACAAACAATTTAACTTGTAAATTATACATCTAAAATTAATTATTTAGTGAGTAAAATTTTTTAAATAGGTATTTTAAAATATTTATTAAAATACGTCATCAAAAGTAAGTACAAATAAGAGCTTCATTTTAAGTAAAGCCGAAATTAATTTAAATGAATTGAATAGAAAAAAATGTAAAGGATGCAAAGGGTGTTACTAATAATAGATTAGCGATTAATTATCTTTTGAGCCATCTGTGAATAATTATTTTTGACCCAGTTAACAGAGTAATTTTTTCTCTTATACAAGTTTAATTAACATTATCAGTAATTACTCATATATATAGATAGTCGTGAGAATTTAACAAATTTAAACAATAATTAAATCCAGTTCTTTTGTGATCAAAAATGAAAATAGAGAGCATGTTATTTTTTATCTTTGGTTAAATAACAGAATAATAATTATTTTATTATAACGTTACACTAACAAGATTAACGATTATTGCAAAATTTTATGTAATCTATATTTTAATAAATACTAAGAAAAATTCCACTATAAGGGAAAGAAGGTATAAATTATTTAACTCTTTAGAATATTCATTTGCCTAAATTAACATTTATTAGATTTAACAGTAAACGTAATATTATTCATCATAAGTTTTTATTGAAATTTAACGAATCATATCCAATAAATATTTCATTTAAAAATCTTAATACGCATTTGGTTATATTAATTAGAGTTTCACTATTTTATCTCTGTAATTATTGTAATCTCTGTAATTATTGTTATTTAAAAATTATTTTGTAGACATTAATGAATGTTCGAGTATTGGTGGTCAAAACGGTCATCATTGTGATGCAAACACGACTATATGCGTAAATACACCTGGTTCGTATACATGTAAATGTCGAGAAGGATATATACCACTCAATAGTTTTGAATGTATCGATGTAGACGAATGCTCTACAACTAATCGTCCGTGTCATCCACATGCCTCGTGTAAAAATACACCAGGTGGATACGAGTGTCAATGTGCAGAAGGTTACGAAGGCGACGGATTTACATGTCGTCGTAAGTCGAACTTTAATAAAACTCCTTTGATTACTAACATTTTCCAATTACTTTTTTGTAATTTAAATTATGCGGTGTGCGTTTTTTTTTCAGCTATATGTCGACAGAAGTGTCAAAACGGCGGAAGTTGCGTCAGCCCAGATGTTTGTCAATGTTTGGCTGCTTTTGATGGTCCGCTGTGTGAGCTAGATGTGGATGAATGTGCGACTGGTATTCATAGGTGCACCGATCCTTCATCACATTGTGTGAACATGGCTGGATGGTATTACTGCGCATGCAATCCCGGTTTTCAGAGTAAACAATTGTACCCAACTACAATAATCAATGATACAATTATAACCGGATTGAGCAATGTAGAAACTACCACGTGGTCTCCAAATATAGGCTCAATGTGTCGAGGTAATATAATTACTTCAACACAATTGTAATAATAACTAAAATTAACAATGCGAATTATTTTTGTACTTAGATATCGACGAGTGTGCCACTAATAACCATACGTGCCATCCATCCACCAAATGCGTTAACACAATTGGATCATACGAATGTCACTGTCTCGAAAATACCTCAGATAAAATTAGTAATAGTAGTCAATATTCAGAATGCAAATCAAGTAAGAGAATGCATTGTCATTATGTTATTAAAGTATTGAAAATTGTTAATCTTTATTCACATTTTAAAGGTTGTTTGGTAAAAAATATCAATGGTATAGTTAAAAAAGAAATAGATAATGGTTCGTGGTTCTTATCTGAAGAATGCACCAACTGTACTTGTAATTCTGGTCACTTGAATTGTAAGCGTATTGAATGTGATTGTTCAAATAAAGATCATTCTCGATTGAGATGCTGCGCCGAGTGCGATGCACAATTATCATGTAGCCACCAAGAATTACCTAATGTGTGGTTTCGCAGTGGACAGCAATGGATATACCAATGTCAGACGTGTGAATGCTTAGTAAGTATAAATTATTTTTTAATATATGATATAAATGTCTGTCTTAAAAACTTGATAGTTATTACTGAGTTTAATTCTACGTATACAAGTGTGATAATCTACTTATAAAATTCCACAAGTTTTAGCTCGTGCAAAATAGTACTTTTTGAGAACTTTCACATTAAAATATTAAATTCATTTATTTAAGAAGTCAATTAGAAAATTCTTGGGCTATTTAGTAATATTTTTAGGTTTTTAAATGGGAACACATATTTATTGTTTAGCATCTTCAATTTTTTGCTTAATTATTAATATAATAATTGTCATAAAACTCATTAATATATATATATAATAGTAATAGATACTACATAAAAATAAAAATTTATTAATTTTACTAAAGAACTGAAGAACTTAACTCATTTTCAGTGATTTCTAGTACTAAGAATTATAATTTTTTTAGATGGGACAAGTGGATTGTTGGCCAATGCAATGCCCGCCTCTACTTCCTCAAGGTGCGAATTGCACATTACTCACACCAACAATTCCAACATTTCCTGACACCAATAATGATCCAATCATTGATTGCTGTTCACCTCAAGTATCTGATTTGATACCATCAAGTTTATTACTACCAGTAGCTACAGCTACCGTGGCCTTAGTGGTCGCATCTAATCCTTGTTTAAAACAGCACAATGATGAAAAAAATAATAGTACATTTTCTACAGCGGGTGGTCCATGTACTTACAAAGGTCGTGTTTATCAATCGGGCGAGTATTGGGACGATCCAGTCGATTTGTGTACATCTTGCAATTGTAAGGTGAGTGTCACTAATTATCATTGTGTAATTAAGTTGACTATGCAAAATAAGTTTAGATTATCAATAATATAACTATATAGGAGGTAGAATTAATATTATTACGTTTGATAGGAACATATTTTCGAAGAGAAAATGCTGTAGATCAAATATTAGAATTTTAATAAACAATTTTAATTATTTCTTTTAATATTTTATCCAAAGGTATTTATAATATTGCTTGTGTAAATAAATAGCCAAAATCGAATATTGAATTAGAAATGGAGCACAAAATTATACATAATAAAGAAATACAATTAAAATAATCTTATTTGTTGAATCATTTTTATTCATCAATGTCTATGGACATTTAATTTATTAGTATTAAATTTAACGTAGTATTAGATTATTCAATTATTTATACAAAAGTAATTTATATGTACTTTACTCTTAAAAATGGTTTTCATTTCATAAAACTGTTAACAGCTTAAGAAAAACCTTGTTGATATAGCTCGGTGCAAAATTATATTCTGATTTTTCAGTTATTATTAGTCGAGTTATTTACAGTTGTGGTAGCACTTTTAATTTTATCAGTTTAAGGCGACTATTGTGGAACTCGTATCAGTCATGTTACTGTCTAAAATAATAAACTTTTAAAGTCTAAATATTTACTAAAACAAAGATAAATTAAAATAAGTAATTGTCTAGTGGGCGAATCAACTAAACTTAGATAATATCTTTTATTTACCAAAGTTACAATAATTGAAAAAGACTTATAGATGATGTAAACAACTTAAGAATATTCGAGAATTAATCCTAGATAGGGTTGAAGTTAATCTTAAAACTAAAAAATTATATTAATATATATAAACAAATATATTAAATATATTTGTTTATAAATATATTCTTTAAAAAATATAAATGTTTTACTTTTTGTGGGTTTTCTTTTAAATATATATAATAATTTTTTTTTTTATGAAAATATTCAGTTTTATTTAAACATAAGTTTTTTTTGTAAAATTGTACTTAAACTTCTATTAAATTTTAAAACAAAATTCGAATGCATTTCAAACGGCTTAAAAATGGCCCTGGTGATATGAATAAATGGGAAAAAGATAATTCGCTGACATAATTTAAATTAATTTTGTGCTTCTAAGTTCTTTAGGAATTAATTGTGTATCTAAATATTGAAGTTTTATATGCTTATAACTTCTTAGCATGCATAAGTACTACTGTATAATCAATACCACTTTCATACATGAACGATTGAAACTTGTCCATAATCATTTATTGAAATTTATGAAGTGGGTACATAGTAAAATGTTAGACTCCATTGTAGTAGAGATTTCTACTTCATATTTAAATATATTTTTGTAGTAAGAATAGTATTAAACTTGTGGAGTGCATAAATTGGAGTTTATATGAGAAGTGATACAATCAAAGTTAACAGTTTTCTATTCGTGTCAATTAAGTGTGGTTAGGTTAAGTTTAAGACTATATAACCACTTAATAGGTATTAAATATAAATTTTTTCGATGAGTAATCGAGTTTAAGTAATAATCCTCAAAGCCTAAAATTAGTTTTCTGTCTTAATTACAAACATTTTTCAAACGAAATACCTTTTAAAGATGTTCAACTTACCCTGAATAATTTATGTTATATCATTAAAATATGTTTTCGTAACTATTTGTAATTATTGTAAAAATTTTATGTTTTCATTCAGGTGCCGCCGTTCTGCGCCCAATCGGTGAGCAATATCGCGTGTTTTAAGCATCGGTAATCTCTCACATCTTTGTAAACCAATATTATACTTCGGCTTATTTTGCAACACTTATTTTCTGGAAATTTTATTCTATTATTAGAATTTACGTTTGGAACTACATTGCCTTATAATCAGCTTTTTATTTCTGCATTGATTATCATTTACCTTGGACTATAATAATAGTTTTCGAATTCTATAGTTCTTAACACAATACACAATTTATTTAGGTACGCATGCCCACTTTCTGTCAATGTATCTAGTTAATTGCACGATCACATCAAATATTATTATGCATATTGCAGTAAAAATCTATATTTTATTAAGCACATTGAAAGAAAACTCGCACATATCCAAATTCATCGTTCACGTTCAACTTTTTAATTATTATTTTTTTTACACTTGGAGAAATTAAAACACTTAGAATAATTATTTTTATGTAACAGTATAAAACAATCTGTTGTAAAAACATGCTGCGTCCAAAATTCGCATTGGCTTAGTTACTAAAAAACCAGCAACACAAAAATTAATAAAATTTATTACATGAAGAGATTATAAAAGTGTAAAAAGAACATTGTATTTATGTAAAAGGTTATAGATGCTGTACAGCTAGAGGTATAACGAGTTTTATGCGTATTTTATAAGAAATAGCTAAAATTAACTTAATGTATTTTAGGCCCAACATTAAAGTTTGACGTATACGAGATTTAAAATTAAGCTCTTGTTATATTTTATGTGACCTCAGTCTGGAAATCACTTTTTTTTAGTTTTTATGTCTCTAACATAATAAAAGCTTTAACAAAACTTAAAATGAATACAATTTTAATCTTAAATGATACTATGTAATTCAATTTTAAAGGGAATTATTATAATACTCAAACAGAGTTAGAAACAAATTGATAAAAAAATTAATTTTTCTACTAAACGCAGTATATTTCTATGGTAGATTGTTTTGTCTAAGTAATAATAATTAATGGAGTGTTATCTTACTTAATATTTTTTGAATACATTATACATGTGCACAAGTAGATTTAGCTTAATCTTTTAAACTCGATTTTCTTTTATAATCGTATACAATGTTACTAACTTACTTTACTGAATACTTATAATAAGAATAGACACACTATGAATACAACTATTGCCTATTAAAAATACTTAAAAAAATACATTTTTTAATCCAATAAAATATTTTTTTAAATAAACATCAATCAAGTTGAAATTATATTGTAATTTAACTAATCCTAGCTTACATACAATGGAATAAAAAAATTAATAGTTTTTTATACATTTATAAAAGATATTTATTAACATTAGTTTTAATGATGATAAATGGTAACTAAATTTATTTACCCTTAAACGCAAAAAAATATAACGTTTTCCAGTTAAAAACAAATTCCTCTATTGAGAAAATACTTATCCTATACTTGCCTTATTAGTGTTTCTTTATTTTTAGCCATGGTTCATTTTTGTGTTAACATGAAAAATTTTTCATTATGACTTTTGAATTATAACTTATTGAAGTAATATTTCTACTACTATAGTTGTCGCAGTAAAGTATGTTAGTACAAATGAAATCATGCATTTTATTTATTAAAAATTGTCTAGTGACAAGAATTATTTAAATGTAAAGAGGTAGTATTTTTCAATAAATATATTATTATTATTTTTTTATTAGGACGGAACATTATGTTGCTCTTATGATATGTCTCATTGCAACCATACATCTGCATCGTCACTTCAGCGACATTCTCCAGTTGCAGTTCATGACAATGTTCCTTTGCGCAATGGCAATCCATCTAGTGTGCGTCAAGAAACACTAATAAACACAAATTTTCACAAAACTCCAGTAACCGAATCAAGGAAAGCCGTTGCCAAACGAAGCCGACGCAGTCGAAGACAGCTTTTAACTGAAAGGCGAAATGGCGGTATTCAAAAAGGCATTGAAAACGAAACTAACAATAGTGATTACAATTTAAATAGTCGTCGTGCCTATGAGACGAATGAAAACTGGTGGTGGAAAAAAACAAGAAGACGAAAGAAAATCAAAAGAGTAGTTTTCATAACGAAAAGTGGCTCTTCATAGGTGTACTCGTTTTTAACACCATAAATGGTCAAACGTACTGTTAGTTATAGACATTCTAATAATTTTAACGATTTTTACTTTTTAAAACGTTAAAGAAAACTTAGTGACAATAATACAAATTGTAAAACGGCAATCGTTATGACCCGAGAATACAATTTGTTGTAAAGACTGTTGTTGTAATTTAAAGTATAGTTAAATTAATCATTTAACTCATTATTTATTAGTATTAGGTATGAGTAATATTTTGTTCTTGACAATAGTTGTAAAACTGTGACATCGGCGGTGTGAATTTCGGGATGAGGGTCTATAAGCATATTCAAAATCCCAAATTGTAATTTTTTTCCGTACAGTCAAACCGTCTTATTTTTATTTTACATCCAAAGTTTTAGAAAATTCAACATTTTTAAGTTTGTTATAAAAAGTAACTATTAGAGAAATACATCAATTCAATAAAAAAATAACTTCAATTCACAATTCAAATATAATTATTTATTTTTTAATAAAATAGGCACAAGTAAAACTTCTGTACAATGTGTCTATTACAAAATATGGTTATTTTTCTTTTGCTGTTTGCTGTGATAATGTTAAGTAATTATTGATTTAACTAGAAATGAATGAATATCTTTTAAATTTGTAGATACAGCTTTGTAAATTATTTTTTTTTAATTTTAGTCAATATTATTACTATTGTTACGAACAAGATTTTAGTTTTTGTAATTTGCGCTAAATTTAGTGATTTATTTGAACAATTGTGTTTCTTAATTTGAGTTAGAACTAAATATTTTTAAATTAAAACAGTTATTTTTATTTAAACTATAATTTGTTAGATAGTATATCAGTTAAGCAGGGTGTGTACTGTGTACACAACAATAAATATGATGCTATTAAATATGACAATAAAATTAAATAAATAGGTAGTTAATTAATAGTTATAAGTATTATAGAATTATTTGTTTTTGTAGGTAATTTTGATGACACTTATATTATATTTGTACTTATTTAGTTAGATTAAAAGCAAACAATTGTTCAATTGTTTAAGAATAAAAAATTCGTTGTCTTATAAGACTGCTGGTCGAGTACTATTAAACATTAATAACTGAACACCGCCGTCGCCATGTCAAAATCATATTTTTATCTAAATTAAATATTAAATTGATAGTTGACAATAAATTTTAAATGATGATTTTAAGTTATATTTAATATATTTATATACTTACTTATTAATGGATACTTACTATAGAATAATTTGTAATTGTTATATTAGTTGTATTATTGTTTTTGACTTTTGTTATATGTGTTTTGACAACCTAACCTTGTCCTCTCTTTTACTACTCTTATTCTTTGCAAATTATTAATTTTTTATGCTTAAATTAAAAAGAAAACAGAAATAAGTGTACATTTATCTATTGATTTATAAACCAAGTTTTTTTTTTTGTTTGTAATATGAAGAATTGTCTAATTGTTCCTACTTAGTGTATAAAGTCATAATTATTATTTATTATTATATTATAAAAAAGAAACTGTTAAATATTATACATTAAGTGAATAATACAATCGCATATTATTTTCTTGTAAATTATATTATATATACAAAAATATACATGTGTATATATACATCTACATAAAACACATAATTTTATAAATAAAGTAAACACTCTAAAACATTCTAGTTTTGATTAATAATACGAATTTCAACAAACAAATAGGAATTATTTCTAGTGGCATTATCTTTTTTTCCATTATTTTAATATTAAATTATTATCAACTATGGAGTGCAATTCAATAACTGTATATATGATGACTACTGGTTTGTGTTACATATAAATATTCCATTTTCAGTATAAGCAACGATAATGGGTAGAAACATAATAAACACTAACTTTAAATAAATCAATTGAATGGTTATAAAGTAAATATTTAATTTTTTAATTTATTTTCCCTTTTATAATTGTTAACAGTAATTAGTAGATCATGAATTTCAATGGATTATATTTTTCATTAAACTATAAAGTAAACCATAATCCAAAAGAGATAATTTTTACTCTTCAACGTAAAATTCCACGTAAAATAGAGACCTTATTTCAACTTGTATTGTAGTAGATATCATCCATTTGGAAGAAGTTACATAAAAAAAAGACAAAAAATAATTTACAGTTCCTTTAAATAATAATATAAATCATAATGACACCGAATCTCTGAATATCTGAATAATTATAAAAAAAAAAAAAAAAAAACGGTAGCATAGGACGTGGTTGGGACTAGTATAGATATCTGACAGTGATTAAAATTACTATCATAAGAATTGCTTCGATACATATCTGTAGATAATGTTTAATTTTAAGAAATTGATGAATTATTTCAAAAGCAAAATGAACTCCTATTTCCTTATTTAAATCCTGCTTACAAGTTTTATGATATATAAGTAATATATGAAAAAATATTTAATAAATTTGTTCAACTTCGACGGCCATTTGCTCATAAAAGATAAATCATTGGGATAATTTTTTTTTTCATTTATATTGCATGATATAAGCTTTAAATTAACACATGTTAAAAGGATGAAATATTTCCATAACATTTTCAAAAATTAAGATGAATAAATAGTAAGTAGTTAGATTTTTCAAAAATTTATATCAAATAAAAAGGAATTACCTAAAGTTTCTACATACAAAAAAAAAAAAATTGACAGTTTAAGAAGAAAAATATCAAATTAACGATTTTAAAATTGGTATTTTTTTTGGAGATTTCCTCCATATACAGAGAACGAGACATTGTCCAGAATTTTTTAGGTCAATGTCTTCAACTAGATACGATTTGGGATATTTTAACGTATACGGTTTTACTCTAATTTATGATATTAATATGAAATATAAATATATTATTTATAAAAAATTACAGTTAAGCCATCTGTCAACGAGCCCACTATTAGATGGACACGTCTTTTAAACAGAAAAATTCCAACCAGATTTTTTAGATTAAAATTTATTTCTATTAAAATGCAACATTTTCTTAACAGAAATAAGTTTGTTCATTTCAGTTGAAAATAAATTTAAATAACACAAAAACATTTAATCAGTGTCTGCACTTTTTTATTTTAAATACATTTTTTTTGTTGTAAGACTTTATGCAATCCAACGTCGATTTAGGGTAATTTGGGTAACTATCTTAGAACAAAATTTTTAGGTGCTTATATATTTAAAATATAAGAAAAAAATTACTAATTAAAAAAGGCTATTAAAAAATTTAAAAGTGAACAAGTACAATATTTCCCAAGATTAAAAAATTTTCCGAGTTAGCTCCAATTTTATAATTAATACACTTTAAAGGATATATTACATAAATTAAAAAAAGAGAAGAAATTATATGTATATATATATCTTCACTCGTAAGTAACACTTAAAGATATTTTGTCTAAGTTTTAAGTTACTGATGATAATTTATTTGTATAGAATTACATTTTATGTTGTAGGTCAGCATGAGTTAAATTTTAATTTAAAATCAGAAATTATTTTTGCTGAAAGAAGATAAGGAAATAATTCTTTCAACTACATTTAAATAATGAATTATACGTAATATACGTATTGTGTTACTTAAAGAAGAGATTTGGGTAGTGCTGTACAAATAAAAAAACTAATATTATTATTTTAATTTTCACTTTTTCTGAGAATTTATATCTTTAGTCTCATTTTATTTTTTTCTTAGCTGCTCATACCACCAATTTATTCGAGCCCAGTTATTATTAATTTGTTTCATTTATACCAATATTCTCTTTAATCACACTAACTTAAAATTTCAGATCTAAACGAAGCTTTTTCACACTTCATTTCTTCTCTCTAATTAAGATATGCTACTCAAGATTTTAATGATCAACTTCTCTCAGAGAATTTATAGATATCTTAAATATACAAATCTACAGAATGATTCATTTATCATAAACCACTTAATTAATCCAAAAATAAATACAGGGTGATTGACTAACTATGCCTCACGAATTATCTCTGAAAATATAAGAGTTATAAACAATTTTTTTTTTTTAATCATTATGGATCTTTGATGAGCTGTTTAGAAAATTTAAATTTTTACCACCATCCCTTTTGCTTAAAAATAGTGTCAACTTCATATTTTCAAATGGCAACACTATTTTTTTTTATACCATTAGATTTAGTTTAAAAAAAAAAAAATGTTTTGTAAAAAAAATATTTTATTTTATTAAATATTAAGCGCTCCACGGCTCTCTAAAGTTTAGGGTTTATTAAGAAAAAATCATTACAGACGAGAACGTTATGGATCGTAAATCGATAAGCGCTACCACTTCTTATCGGTACACTAAATAATAACGATACTATATTTACCCGACTACTGTTTTATTTGTTAAATCCCTTAAACTTTAAATAGTAATATCTCGCTTAGAATTTATTAAAATTGATTTTTTTTTTTTGAGAAAATTTTTTTTTTTATTATTAACAAGATTAATAAAAAAAAAAACTGGGTTGCTATTTGAAAAACTAAAGTTGATATTGATTTAAGGGTTGAGGGATGAAGATTGAATCTTCATTTTTCTTGTCAAGTAGCTCAACAAAGATTTATAACAAATAAAATAATTACATATACGATAATACTAATATTTTTAAAGAAAATTCGTGAGGCATAGTTAGTCAATCACCCTGTATAATATTATTATATTTTTTTATTTCTTTTAAATACATATTTTTCTTGATTTACTAAATATGAAATATTTTTTTGTTATTCTTTATACCTTATGAGAATGACGACTATATTTTTTCAAATGGCAACATATATAATTAACTAGCTTATTTAATTGATAATGATATAATTAAGTAAATGACTATTCGATAAAAACTTTTTGGCTAATATTTTGGAATTTATTAGCATGTTTTAGTAATGACTGGAAATATTGTTATTTTTATCACTACTCATTTCCGGTCATACTCTTCTTCTTGTCTAGATAAAAAAAATATCAATAACATTCAAAATTCTAATTCAGAAGTTGTTATTGATCAGTCATTTTCTTAATTACATAATTTTTTATTAAAAAAATATATAAGAAATATTTTATTATTGACAAATTGAGAAAAACGTGTACCTAAAAAACTAAATTAAAATTTCTCAATATTACTATTACCTTTTATTTAAGTGATTTATGATACATGAACACGCTGCACAGGCGGAATAGATCTAAAAGATTACTCTGATAACTTTTGATTCAATTAATATTTTGTTGTAATTTTAATCGCTGGGTACAACTCGTACTGGTGTATTGATATAATGCAAACTCCATCGCGTTACATACCCACTTAATGTAATAAAATTATTGTAACTCATTAATTATACGCCCTTAAATTATTATTTATCCGTCAAATTTTTTTTGTAAAAATGATGCTAAAAACTGGTTATTTTAAAATGTTTATTGTTAACAACAATTAATAAAAATATGATTATTATGTAGTTAAAAATGCATATTATCTAAAAATATTTACATCAAAATGTTATAAGTAATGTTATATTGTACTAAAAGTTAAAAGAAGAGCTGTAAGTTTGATCTGTTCGGCATTATACATAGTATTATTAAATAGCGCAAGGCTTATAAAATCAATAGTAGTGATAGTAAATAAAAAACTTGTCTATCTTAATCAAATTTCTAGACTATAGAGCATAGACATGCGTAGACTATAATTTCTGGCAGTGCCTCGAAAAAATGTATGCCTTAATACTTGAACAAAAACTTAAAAATTATTCACCTTTCGAAATTTTAGGTAGTGCCGAGGCACTGTCCCGCCTATCTTTTAGAATCGTATATATACAGCTAAGGGTCACAGTATTTGCAATATAAAAATTTCTTTGGTCCTTTATTGAAAAATATTAGGAGTTTACACCAGTTCTATTTGCTTATTACAAACTTTAAACATACAGAGTGTTCAGTAAGTAAGGAAACAGGTCAATTGTTACAAACAATGAGAACAATAGAAACCCGTTTCCTGACTTACTGAACATTCTGTATATGAATAGCGGTTTTTTTATTTTCTAATGTTGCAGTAATTTTGTCTAAATTATTCTTTTAATAATTTTTTAAAAATACTATAAAAAAATTTAATACTAATAGAAAAGTCCTTTAAGTTTGATTATTAAATTTAATTACTTATGTCAGATATTTTATAAAAGTTTCATAGAACTTGCTAGTTTATTGAAAAGTTAACTTTGCACTTCTGGAAATGTCATAAAAAATTGAAGTTTGACAAAACAATTCAGCAAACATAATTTAATTATGCTTTATTAATAAAAATTAATAAGAACTATTTTACATTTAACGTCATCAGGCTTTATATAAGAATTGTTCATATTACCATCAATAACAATAGAATCGGATTGCTATTTTGCATTTAATTATTTTTAAAATATTCAAAAAAATTGATTACGCCGGCGCAATTGATTATTTTAATTGTTCCTTTGTCATAAAGTAAAATTATTTATTTTGGTATAACAGTGAAGAAATAGACAGTAGGAAACTATTACGAAATTGGCACTTTATGGATATATTATTTTTAGACTTTCAGCCGAATAATATTGTTTCAAATGACAAGTTAGTCTATTTATTCACATTAATTTAAAATGAATAGAAGCTCAAATATGAAAAAATACAACTGTTTTATACGTGTAAAAAATAATGAAAAAGTTAAAAACCTCTTAATATTTGCTATACGGCATATAGTGTGATATTTATGTTTACATATTTCACAAGATCTTGAGATATTGCTTTAATCGTATAGTTTAATTTTGTTATTTTATAAGTATAATTAATATTTTTTAAGAAATAGACTACTATTGCACTAGATCATTGTGAAACATATAAGAGTAATATTAGGGCATTAAATTTCATTTTATATTATATGTACTTTCATAGGCGATTAAAGGGATGTTTTGGTTGTTTAATACTACCTAGTATGATATTAGCATCCCAAGTAGGTATCACTATTCTTCTATAATATTGAAAAAATTGAAAGTATTTTTAGTATAATACATTCATTATTAGTATTATTAAAATATATTATTGTATAAATCATTGCACTTTTTAAAAATCTTATCTTTAACATTGTAAGTGTGCAATGTCATCAGGGTGTATTAAGTGTATTTAACTTTAAACATAGTATTATATTTTGGTTTCAATAATTATAGTTGGAATACTACAGGTTAAAAAAATATATGTGTATATAATTGAGGCAATNACTACAGGTTAAAAAAATATATGTGTATATAATTGAGTCAATAACACGGAAAAGGTACAAAGTAAAAAAAAAAAAATACTTCCTAAAAAAATGTAGTAAATACAAATATAAATAATTTGGTGAAAAAGTCAAATTTTTGTATAGAACAAAAATAAAGTTGAAAACAAAAAGGCGCTTCTAATGAGTCTACGCAGAATATATAAACGGTTTTTTTACTTCTGAAAAATTTAGTTTTTGTAACTTAGTACCTTTTTTATTCAGAAGCGTGCCCAGAAATTTTAAATGAAGAAGGGTCATTATCAAAATTTTTTTTATAAAATTAGTTTAGTGGTAATATTATTAGGAAGGATAAATCGTGAGCAATCAATGCTGAGAAAGTTTAGACTAGTTAAAAATTTGACTCTGTCTACTATAATTTAAAATGACGCCTAATAGCATCCTCAAGGGAGGATACTAATAGGCGCTAATAATGTTTAGAATCACTATTTTTTACTCATTTTATGTTTCATTTAAATTAGAAAAAGAAACATAATGTTTAACTTGTTGATTATCAATAATATTGCTAGAACTTTTAGACAGAATGTACTATTATTCTCATAATCTACATTTCATTATCTAAAATTTATAAAAATTTTTTTTAATTAATAAAATAAATTGAAATCATTAGGAGTAAAAAGAGGGCCATTGCTATGCACATCAAATTTTAGGGGCATGTTATAAGAGTAATAGACTTTTTTTTTTGGTATAAAAGATTTTTCTATGAACTAAAATATGATTAACTGAAAGTTAATTATAAATATATAATCCTCAAGTCAGCAAAACATCAATACTTCACTGGATAAAGGATACGAGGAGAAATTTATCTATGTAACAGTCAGTATATGAAGTTTAGTAAGTAAGAAAACAGGCCAGTTGTTACAAACAATAACAATAGAAACCCGTTTCCTTACTAACTGAACACCCTATACATTTCACATTGACTTATTTCCTAAAGAATAAAGTGTTTATGTTTTATCTTTTTATGAAATATTTTAAAATCTTTTATTTCTTGAAATTTTAAATCACTAAATATCGTTATAGTTTATGTTATAAATAATATCATCCATGTTGTAGATTTCGCGCCTAAATGAACAATCTCTTTATCTACACTTACATTTGATAGCTGATAAAAGTAAGAAATCTCAGTAATTTCATACGAGTTACTTTTTTGATTTCTAGTATTTGTAGCACCAAGTACAAAATTTGTATTTTTTAGTAAAAATTAACACAAACAAATTTCACTTAATTTTTAATCTCTGGACATTTGTTCAACGCAAACTAAAATATATATATATATAACACAATTATGATGATGAGATTGAAAAATGTTCATCTCATTTGAATATTCCACGAAAAGTTTAGTGGTAACTTACTAAAATAATAATCATTATGTGTAATGCAGTACCTTTGTTTTGATTACTGGTATGATTCCTCAACGTGAATACCACGAGTTAGCATTGGTTTTTATTTTGACTGGAATTTACACGTTATATTATACTTGGTTTCACGATTTAAGTACCTGTACAGCAGATCATACTTTATCGTTTAGTAGCGCTGGTGCCTCTGTGCGGTGAAGGTTTGCAATGTGAAGCGTCGGTCGTTCCGTATTGGCGTGTGATTGTTCCGCCGTCGTGGCGCCAGATTTTTCATCGATTCAAATTATTCTATTATTATTTTTCACAAAAAAAAACATTTTATTTTATGCTTTCCCGTCGTATTTAGTTATGAAGTTTTACCGAAATTCGTTCTGTTACTGAGTGTTATGTGCAATTGAATTCCAGTAGGTTCAAAAAATAGCGGGAATTTCGTAGCCGGTGCGACAAAATGACGGTTACGTATACAGCTGAGGTGGCCACTTGTAGAGGTTTTGGGTGTTTTTTGAAACTTTTAATAAGGTAATTACAATACACAAAGTTATACTTGAATACGTCCCCAAACCACGTAGTAATAATTTGATGTTTAATATACGTGATAATATCTTTATTGATAACACATCAATTAGCATATCAAATACAATTTACAGGTACTCGTTAAAATATTAATTGCTCATAATTAGGTCCTCGCTAGTTATTGATAATAAATACAAAATTATGACAGCTCAAACAAATTAAAAACTGTGATCTCTGCGAATATATACCAGCAATAAAGATAAACAGAGACGGTATTTGCATTTTTTGTCGGAGTTCAATACAATGAGAGTTAGCGATAGCGCCCGTAGTTTTTTTAAGTACCCGATAATGTGTGTCATTGATATATACGTAAAAATAACCATCCCGAACCGTTGTTTTGTGTAAGCATTTCAATAGTAAACAAGCCATATAGCTTCGTATTTCATATTTGCGGTCCTGTGTAATAATTTATTGTTAAATTGTCCTACCTAATAAATTGTTTTATGTGTTCAAATAAAAAAAAAAGTAATATTCTATAGTCTATACTATTCATTTTTATTTTTTATTTTACTTGGTAGAAATACTTGCTACAAGTCAAGATACATAATCTTTGATAATTACAGTATACCTAATGATTTCTGATATTATGTATTATGATTAAACCAATTAATTTGCACCATTAATATACCTATTCCATTTACAGAATGTCGAGAACGTGGTCCAACATAATTTTATGGATGTAGAATGATTGGCGTTAGCATGATACATATTTAACCTTGTATAAAACACTGAGCTGTCTTATTTCTTAATATTCAATGAACTATAATTTAATTTTCAAGTTTTTACTAGTAACTAATACGTAACAGTTACAATTACCCGAACTAGTTTTCTAGTTGAGCTTCTTATTTTTCTATTCAAAAAAATTATAATCACCTAGGTTTCAATTTGATCTTATGTACAATGCGAAACCAAGTTCAAGGACACCTTGTTAATTGTCTATACAAAGATTTTAAAAGTAGCTCTTCAATGACTAGAACGAGATGGAGTTATATTTAATTTTGCGTTGCCGTAGGGTAATACGCTACACTTTACCAAATATATATGTATATGTTTTAACGATACTGTTTAATTATTTAGTGGTTTTTAATGCAATTAAAATATACTCAATGTTGAATGTCAACAACATTTATTTTAGCAATATTCTCAAAACTATTATTACTGTTCTAATACTTGATGGCCTATCGGCGATAATTATTAAAAAATGTATTGGTTATTTATACATGGGTATTTTAGCATGCATCTAATACCACAAACAATAACTATTTTTTTACCATCCAGTACTTATGGTTGATTTAGAAGGGATAAACTTACAAATATTACCTTTTCTAGTTCATTTATCTCCGTTTCTTCCTAAAAATATTTTATGATTAATAATGTATCATTAAAATCAAGGTATTATACAATGATCAAAAGAACATCATAATGTCAAAACATCCTTAACCATTATTAGTTATCTAATCATTTTAAAGGAAATTCTAAATAAAAAGCAGTTTCCTTATGTAGTATCGATATCTATACTTAATTATCAATTTTTATTTTCAAAAACTTTTGAAACAATTGTATTAATTTCTCCATAAGAAACAAAATAGTTCAAGGCGCATTCTGCTAAAGCTAGGAACTTTATGTTAAATTTCATTTTTTTATATAAATGTTGTAACCATCTATTATATGTAAATCGCATGTTTATAAACACGCGATAAATATGGAAAAATGTCTTTGAACTTATTGTTGACTTCATTTATTTTTATTTTTTAGTTAACATTCTTAATATTGACTGCTTTTTTAATTTATACTGTTTTATAATTTTACTTTTTTATACTTACTATTTAGTTAACTTTAACTTAAATTGCGTATGTAATAAATAAGTATTGCGTTGAAATGTTAAACATATAAGATTTAAATAATTTCTTAAAAATAATACATTATAACAATCATGTCTAGTAAGAACATCATTAACTAAACTAAATTATTTCCAGCTTTCAATAAAACAGTAAGTATGGTCGTAGGAATCATTTGAGCAAAATTTTTGAGCATCTAACTTAAGTTTTCTTCTTATACCCTGCTTTCTGTACAAATTAATATTTAATTTAAAAAAACACTTTTTTGATGAGAGTTAGTAACTTTTCAAGTAATTCATATTTATTATTATCTTGCATATGTTATATCTATAAAGGACAAAAACATCAATATTATCCTATCAATGACTACTAACCCATTATTTGTTAAATATATTTTTCATTTTAAACTTTTATGGATCTTTTTAAATTCTTTACGAGAATTCTTAATGTATTATGACTATTGAATACATAAATTCTTATAAAAATATTTATTTTTAAAAGAATGCATCGATTTCTCATACGCTTTTGTTAGTCATAATATTTATTTATATTTATTTTGACTGTCCTTACCTATAAGAAATTCTAATTAATTGCTTTTCTGGGTGTTATTGAACCAACAACAAAGCAACAGAAAAAGATTATTATAAAGTAGTACTTATTTCTTTTATAGGCGAAAGCTGTTAGGGAACTTTAATAGTAGCTTAGCAAACTGTAGTTCATTGTTTGAAACTGTATTCGGATTTTATATTTGTAATTTTGAGTATTATTTTATAAATTTATGAAAATGTTTTTTTTTCAAAATATTATTTGGTTAACGAGGGACCTATCTCATTCAATCACATCAAAATTAAAAAAAGGTCAACTTTTAAATTATAATTACATAAATAAATGAATGTAATTTATAATTTACATAAATTTAATGCACTCACGTGTTAGCCAAATAAAGATTTATGAAATTTTTTATGAAAAACTGCGCAAATTACTATGTATATACTATGTCAAATATATGTATTATATTATATTTTATTTTATTATAGAAATGATTATACACAAACAGATTTATTCAGAGTGTAGGGTATTTGAAATAAAATACTGTTTTAAGAAATACATATAGACAAAAAATTAACAATGCTATAATTATGAGGTATAGATTTATACATTTTGTTAGTGGTGGTCATATGATTTTGCCATGGGAAGGGATGAAAAATCTTTGATAAAAATCATCATTTCAAGATGATCTGTGTCCTCTTACCCCAGAAAATTTTTATTTATAGTGATATTTTTAATAAGGGCAATAATATATATAAATATATATATATATTACTATGAGTATATAATACTATTTGTTTTTAGTTATTACTAATATAGGAGATTTTTATAAAGCTTTACTTATCAGAATTTTCTAAAGAAAAATCCATAATTATATATAATTTATTCAATAAAACGATTTTTAAATGTTGTGTCCTTTGACTGAAGAGAGACCAAAGGAGAATTTAAATTTATCTTGATCGTTCTAACGATCATTAAAACATGACAACTATTTTTTCATCTACATCATTTAGGTGAATCTTGTAAGAAATTTTGACGCTGATTCTGAATTTGTTTTTAGATTTTTGTCATCATAATAATGACATGAATAAAAATCAACAGACTTATGTGTTTATTTATTTTTAGTATGATGTAATTAGATTTGGTGTATTACATTTTATTACTTAGTTATTTAATTCATTGTAAAGAAAAAGTAACAAATATTTTGCAAATTTTGATTGGTATCAGTTTGGTTGTAAAAAAAAAAAAAAACAACTAAATGATGAAATAATGTAAATACATCAATGTCTTTTAAGCGTCAAAACACTTTGGTCTGTTAAATTTATTTTCTTTAACTCTCAAAAATTTGTACTAAAAAAGGCCAATAAAAATTAATTTGAAATTTTGCAATGTATTTTCTTTAAGATAACATTTAAATATTTTTTATATGTTATTTTATATGTTTATTATAACCTCAAGTTATATACATTTACATTTTTAGGAATCCTTGAATAAAATTAGGATTAAATTCTATAGATTTTATAAATAAACAAAATTAATCAAATAACTTACCATTATATTTAACAAAACAAAAATCTTAGTTTTCGTTATTTATTGTAAAAAAATTATCAGTTTTACATGCTTCTATTTCCCGAACTTATTTATTGTTTATTATAATTAATTGTACTTATTTCAGATGGCGTGGTAGTATATACAAACTTGTTTGGCCTGACCTAGCAGCGTTTCTTGTATGTTACTATACATTAAATTTAACTTATCGATTTGTATTAAATCAACAACAAAAAAGGTAACTATCTTTTAAGTATTTTTTTACTATAAACTTCAAAATTAAAATGACTTATTTAGTATTTTATTTACTATGAAAAGTTCGTTCTTAAGGATCGTTACATAGTAACTTTTTCTTTCTACAAAAAAAATGTATGATTTCTAAAATATTTAGTAATCAAATTACTAGATACAATGACGCTACCAACTTTTACGTTAAATTGTTATTTGCAGTTGTATTCCTTTAGAAAACTTACTTATGACAACTTTTAGTATTTGAAAGGCTCAAGAAACAATTGGGCAAGTCCAGCTTTTTCAAAATCTTTTTTGTTAAATTTAAATAAATATATATGCGAAATTCAGTACAAAAACGAGTTTTACATTCTTATTATTAATGAAGATTCAGAAAAAAACATTTTACAATTGTTTTGAATAAAACATTTTACAGAAAATTACTTATCTTGAAAAATTCAAAAGTATACATAGCTGATTGTAACATTGAGTTCTTCATTTACTCAGAATAATTTAGAATAATGTAGGGTTCAGTGAAGGATATAAAATAGGATAAAATAGGATGCAAAATAGATATTTTGTGTAAAAAGCAACGCACCGTTTATTTTCAATAAAAACTTAGATCTAAGTTGTTTAAAAAAAAAAAAAATTATTATAATTTATTAAAATATAGTAAAATAATTTTTTATTTATTATCTACGTTAAGATTAATATTATTATGATTATTATTTAAAGCCTCAAGATCTATGGTTTTTAGTTCAAGATTATTGTATTTACTTAATGTGCTATTCAATTTGTTATTAAACAAAAGGGAAAAATTATTTTGATATATTTTAACTAAGTTTTTTTCCTTCGAATTACATGTATTAGTTGTCAGTCATGCATGTTAGCAAATTTTGTATATTAAATGTAACCATTCCCTAGAACTACTATTTAGAAGAAATATATGCACATAAAAGAACAAGTAGCCACAGTTGTTAAAAATTGTATTCTTTATTTCCACATCTAATTATGATCATCGCGTGTCGTCTGTCTTTTCGAATGCTAATATACTGTTTAGTGTGTCTCGTTTTTCTTTTCTATTATTAACGTGATTTTAACGATTAAGTTTTCATGTTCTCTAAAAAAATATACATGAAATATTATAAAATTTATCATTAATTGTTAAAATATTTTTAGTTATATATAAAGCTTGTATTTCGTTGAAGACATCAAATCAAAATCCCTTTGAAATATGAATCCTATATATTCAATCCTTTTCTTGTTCCAAGTGCGTTTCCTTGTAACGCAATTATTTTTTAATTTGGTATCGTTCAATTTCTTTATATTTTTTCAGGATATTTGAAAATATTTCAGAATATTGTGAAACGTATAGCGATTTAATACCATTGTCATTCGTGTTGGGTTTCTATATTTCTATAATTATGCAAAGATGGTGGGATCAGTATTGTTCCATACCATGGCCAGATCCTATTGCAGTTTATGTCAGTTCACATATTCACGGTCAGGTAAATAATGATATAAGTTTAAAATATCGCTCTGAAGCTCATTTTATACTGTGAATGCATAACGAGTATTATCTAATAATATATAAACTAATGAAAGATTTTTCTCTATCGTATGTTAATGTGCAATAACATAATACACAACGATAATTGTAAATTACCTATTCAACTAGTAACTATACTGACATCTACAACAATGTATTTATCTCGACAAAAAATGCGACACTATTCATATCATGGCCTTCGTTTGTTCTATAATAAATAAGTATGATTCAACCATATTATCTGTTACACATTTAATACTCATTCATACAATTTTAGATAAATCTTTACTTGTAAAGTTCTATTAACATTACATATAATTATTTCAACGCGATAAAATACTGATTATTAACTATATTTTTGTATGAAAATTATTTATATTCAATTCTCCCCTTAACTTTTACCTACCTACCGGCTACAATTATTTAATAAGTAGGAAATGTAAATTTTGCTATCTAAAACCATGACTTTACTAAATTATTACTAAAATGATTTAAACAAATTAAATGCAATATTTTGTCTGCATTTAATTGTACGACATAGCCTTCACAACAATAGCTTTCAAAAATATAGCTTTGATTTTATATAATTTTTTCATGATTTGTGTTATTATAGGATGAACGAGGTAGACTAATGAGGCGTACAATTATGAGATATGTATGTCTTGGATTAACTATGGTGTTTACAAATATAAGCCCTAGAGTTAAAAAACGTTTTCCGACTTTAGATCATTTTGTTGAAGCGGGTATGTACTGTAATAATATTTAACTGTTGTAAAAAAAATCAAGAAAATTAGCATTTAAATTATAAATACTTCCAAAAAAACTAGTATGGTTCGTTGTTTCAATTTTTATGGATAGTAATGTTAAAATGTTTAATCTGTAAAAATAACAAAGTATTATTTATTTTTATTTTAAAACCCTCGTAATAAATACTTTTATATTATTATACGTGTGATAAAACAAGAAAATACAACCCATTATTAATAAAAAAACTTAAAAAAGCACACTTTTAATCGAGTATTTTTTAGTTAGTATTAATAATAAATAACACTTGTTTTCCATATAATATTTCTCATTTAAGTTCAATATAGTAATTCTTTCTTTTTATAGTCTTTGAGTTATTAAACTAAATTAAAACAAAAATTATTTTCATATTAATTTGTCAATTTTAACCCAAACACGAGGATCTCAATTATAATTACCTAAAATGTATTTTAGTACAGTCATAACTGTAGATAACAGTTATGATTTCATAGGGGATATGGAATAAGACTTAAAGGCGGTGATAGTCAAATGATTTTGTCATGGGAAAGGATGATAAATCTTTATAATAAAAATCATCATGGAACTTTGCCCCTTACACCAGAGATTTTTTATTTGTATTATTATATCAAACGTGATTAAGAACAATAGTTATACATAAATATTTTTCTTCTTATTAAACTTATTTTAATTATTTAATTTATTTAAGAATAGACCTCGTTGAGTTTACCTACGTATCAAATTTGTAGGATTAATAGTTCCATATTAATTATGCTCAATAACTTTTAAATTGAACTACTATATATAATATTTCAAAATATAAAATATGTATAATGAAAATGGTACCAAAATTCAAAAACAGTATTTCAATGGAGGAACTATCCCCCTAATCTCCTTTAATTTGGCCATTTCTGCATGAGGGTGTTACATTGTCACACATATTATTATAATGACTATCTTTAATTTAATATTGAAATTATTAACAAGGAATGCTTGTATAGAGCGAATGCTTTAATTTTTTTAATTTAAGAAAAAACGCCAATTTGTTCAGTTTTATTATGTTTTAATAATATTAATTTCATTTTATAATAAGGTTTACTATTAGAAAATGAAAAAACCATTGTATTGGATTTAAATGATAAATTTCCAAGACACTCCAAACATTGGTTGCCAGTTGTATGGGCTGCAAGTATTGTAACAAGAGCAAGAAAAGAAGGTCGTATTCGAGATGATTTTGCAGTAAAAACTATTATTGATGAATTAAATACATTTCGCGGTCAATGTGGGAAACTTATAAATTATGACTCAATAAGTGTTCCATTAGTTTATACACAAGTAATATTTCTTATATATTTATATACAAACAAATTTAATAAATGTATCTAATTATAATTAAACAATCTATAAGAAATTATATTTATGCGAAAAATTTTACTTAATAAAAAAAATTATCTTTTGCTTTTGTTTAATATTTTAAAGCAACAAAAACGAAAATATATTATCAAAGTTTCGTAATTAGATATTTACGATACAACCATATTTTATGCAATTTATTTCTAATTGAGTTACTAAGTTGTTTTTAATAGATTAATAATATCGTGCAAAAAAATTGAAACTTTAATTAAAACTCAGGTTATTTTCAAATTTTGAGTCCCGATAATAAACCTAAAAATGGACTACTCAATACTAGGATTAATATTTTCTAAATATGTACTTATACGAAAAACAAACAGTACTATGCAAAAAAAATTCGTAAAAAATACTTAAGATATTTTCGATAGTAAAAGAATCTAGGGAATTATTTTCAATTACAAAGGGTGATGTCTCAAACGAAGTGAATTCAGGATCTTGTAATCTGTAGTGGAGCAATATTGGTTTACAAGAAGTTGCATGCATGGTGGGACCACAGATAGAAAAATTATACCATGCTATATAAAATAAACACCGTTCTCAGCTTTGAAACCTTTCTCATTGAAGTTAAATAAATCATCAATCTCTTGAAATGCTTCCCCTTCTAGGTCCATTGACCTCTTTTTAATTACTAAAGATAAAATTATTTATGTTCATTTTCTTCTTCTTAATGCGTCTCTTCTATTAAATGTTGGAAATCATCATGTGTATTTGGTATTCATTTTTGGCAGTATCAAATAGTTCCTTGTTGTTATTTTAGAAGCACTTTCTTAGATTTTGTAGCCAGCTAGCTCTAGATCTTTCTCTATTCCTGTGAATGTTTCTTTGCATTTTGAGCTGATTAATCTCATCTTTCAACATAGGCCCAAAATATTTTTGCTTCCTTGATTTTATATTATTTATCACTTCTGATTCATTGTCTATTCTCCTTAATTTTGGTACGTTTTTAACTTTATCGACTCAAGATATAATAAGAATCCTACGGAAACATCACATCATAAATACTTTGATTTTTTTTATCTACTTTCTTATATGTCCAAGCTTCCGTAAACAAGTAGAGAATATGTAGCATTCAATATTCTAATTCTGATACTAATTTTAGGGTGTATCATAAGTAAAAAAACCATTTACGGAGTGTATCATATGTTTAACCTTGAATTTTTATATATAGAAAGTATCATAAGTACAAACCATGACACTTTTAACAGATTGTTTTTTAGGTGCAATATCTATATATTTTAATTTTTTGGGTGAATTAATTTTAAAATTAATTTCGTTTAATTACATTAGAATATATTTTATGTAACTTTTTTAATTAAATTTTATCAGGTTGTTACATTAGCAGTTTATTCCTTTTTTATAACAACTGTTATGGGCCGACAATGGCTTGATAAGCCACCAGTAGCATTAGCTAATCTAAAACAGCATACTGATTCAGATGAATCCAAATATATTGACTTATACTTCCCAGTGTTTACTACTCTACAATTTTTCTTTTATATGGGTTGGTTAAAAGTGGCTGAATCATTAATTAATCCATTTGGCGAGGATGACGATGATTTTGAAGTAAATTGGATTGTAGATCGTAATGTTCAGGTATGAGAAAATCAAATAATTATATTTTATATAGAGTAACAAATTTTTTATCTTTTAAAGCTCTATATATTTTAATATTTACTTTTATGTCACAATTCTAAAATTATTATTTATTTGTTTCCTGAAAATTTTTCTGTACAAATAATGTAAAATATTTGTAGTTACTTACATGAAAATTATACTTACTAATTTATTTTATTTCGGATATCAGAATTTATCAGAGAATAAACTTTTAATTACATTCTATCAAAAATAGTGATATTAATTTAGATATTTATATTTACTATAAATATCTAATAAATACTATTAATTATAACTTGTTACAAATCAGATTAAATAATTGTTTAGTTTAAAAACTTGGTGGTGTTCATTTATTGGTAGTATTTTTTTACTAATTATGTTACTCTAGTTATTAAAAAATATATTTTCTATTAATAGGTGTCTTATTTGATTGTTGATGAAATGCATCATGAACATCCAGAATTAATTAGGGATCAGTATTGGGATCAAGTATTCCCGACTGAATTACCTTATACAGTAGCTGCTGGAGAACGAGAGCACCATCCTGAACCGTCTACAGCTAATATTGCTGTATCCGAGGCTGATGCTGAGTACTCACTTCCATCCAAATGTTGTGATGATATGAATGGCGCGGTAAGAACTTTTAATCGATTAAAAAAGTAAATTAACAGTATCTCAGTAGTTAAACTTTTTATTTGATTAATTAAGAAAAGGAAACTGATAGTTAGGATGGCTACTGAATAGTTTATGGAAAGTTATCTATTTAAGAGGGGGTGTTTATCATTTAATACGATTTTGGGACAAAAAATGTAACTGGCGGAAGGTTTCATTAAAAAGTTTACATTGTGATCTCAAATTATATGTCCTAAATTATAATGGTAGTTAAGTATAACGATCCTCTAATATTCTTAATGAAATTGGGACCTTTTTGGAGTAGGTTATTGAATCATAGAAATATTTACCACCTCAGACCCTAACTAGTTATAACTTGGTAATCACGACTTACTCTAAATTCTGTGTATGCTAATTTACAAAATTTCAAAATAATTTGAACAACCAGATTGGTTTAAATACTTATGTGCTTAACAGTTATTTGTTAACGTAATTCTATATGATTAGGACGACGATGACACAAATAGTGGTATTCACTTTATTGCACACGGGGGAAGCTATAAGAGAAGAAATAGTATTCTTCGAGGTCGTCCAACATCAACTATTTCAAATGATCCTCCGCACAACAACCAAAGTGTTGCCAGCTCTCTTAATCGAGTAGGTTCAGTGACGTCAATATTGAAAAATTTGTTCAAACGCACTAATACCAATACTGGCGATGGTAAGTATTTATACTAAAATTTGTAAAATTTATATATTTATTGTTCCTCAAAGTTATTATAGTTGTATAAACTTCAAATAATTTACACTCATGACAGATTGGAACAACTTTTTAGCGTGGGGAAATAAACAGAGTGCTAAAAATTGGCCCACAGTTCCTAAATACAATAGACTATCACTCCTCTTTCCATCTCGTATACAAACTATGCAGTCTATAGGATGGATTTCAAATTCCTAATGGACCGATTTGCATCCTTAATTTTTCATCCTAAAATCTAAAATTGTACAGCTTGTTAAAATTTAAAAATAAATAAATATTCCTAAACTTTTCCTTTGTTAATTTTGAAATTAACATTTTAATTATTCTGAAGTGAAGATAAATTTGTATTAATTAATTTTAATTTATTAATAACAAATCTAATAATATGAAATCAAATTTAGGATTATTATCCCGAGTATCAAGCGGTAATAGACTTCCAGGTAGTACTTGGCATAGTACAGATAGTTTACAAAGTAGCAGCAGTAAACTTTTACAGCAACAATTTGGGAGTGTCCGTATTGCCGATCAAGTATAAAACCCCATTTATTAATATACCCCAAAAATGTTCAATTGATATAAAAATTATTTGATAGGTAATCGAGGAACTTGACGAACAAATGACAATTACAGCTGGTGGTAAACTTGAGAAAAGAATCGAAAGACCTAATGTGCGAACTGTCTTTCCTCCTCAACCATCACTACCCGATGAAACAACTTCATCAAATTTATCCAATATTACCTACACAGAGGTATTATCGGTTAATGATGATGCAGATTTTCATAGTGAAGAGCAAGAGCCTGTTTTACGCAGTAACAGTGGTAGTACTGGCAGTCGTCATACCCCTAGCACAAATAGTTTATTATTTATTGTTGAGCCTGTTGATGAGACTTTGAGTAACAAACTTAGCAGCAAAACTTCATTAGAAGCTTATGAATATGACGAAACAAATAAACAGACTCCTAATCAACAGGATCAGTAATAATTCGTGCCTTAAAAATGTTAGTTGTATTTCTTATCAATCAACATTTTTTTATAGTATTATCGCAGTATTACTTGTATGTTAAAATTGTTACTAACGCAACTTTGTGAGTTTAAATATACAAGACAACATTAAAAAAAAAAAAAAGGTGGAATTATGTTAATGCTTTTACTTTATGCGTAAATAATAAAATATTTTTTCAATGTAAGACACCATTCTATACAAGTATAGAATAATAGGATTATGTTTGATATTTTAAATTTTGTGTTGACTTAGTATTGTAAAATGTAATTTATTCTTTTATATAAAAACTTGGTCTAGGATTTTTTTTAATATCTTGGGCAATTTCAATAAAGTAATATTTATAATTATTAAATATTATTCATAAATACATATTATATAGAGAAAATATAATAAATAATATAAACAATTGTATAATTATTATCAGTTATTATTTATTATCAGTCAACTGAGGTTATATTTCTTTTTTTTTAATAAAACGATTTTGTATTTAAGAAATTTTGCATTATTTTAACTTATAAACCGTATTTGAATTTGCTTCTGACTTGTACATTTTAGTATTCACAGGTGGAGGTAGCGGAATTAAAAAAAAATGAAAATATTGATATCAAATTATAATTTATAAGTGATACATAATACTTACTAAGATAAAAAAATATTGAAGATTGTATTTTTAAATATTTAAGATAGAATATTTTAGCTTAAATAATTATTCTTTTGAAAACGACTTTTCAAAAATAAATTTTTCAAGTTCCTTCAATTTTTTTTAATATTTGCCTGAACTAGACGTACATTAAATAGTCGAAATATTAACTAGATGACTTTCCTATTAGTATTAAACTATTTAAATGAGATCTAAAAGGGCTAAGCATCCTAATGACTAAACTAAAACTACATTTTACAAAAGAACTATTAAAATATAATTCATTTTAATATTTGTTAATTATTTTATTTAACTTACTTTCTTTTCTTCTATTTATCCAACTTCTTAGAAATTCTTTTATCTAAATTTTTCTTAAAAAAGTTATTTCATTTATTATTTCTTTTCAATATTAGTTTCTAATAGGGATTCTAAAATAAATAAATAAATAAAATTGGAGTTTTTATTTCTTAATATTACAGAAATAACATATCTTATAGCATATGGTAATACTTGGTTATTATAACACAAATAATAACTAAATATTGATATTTTACAATCGTATATATATATATATATATATATATATATATATATTTTAAACAAACAATTTTACATCAATATTAGTACATAGATTTATATATTTTTATGTCGATTAAAAAACAAATTATTTTGTACAAACGAGATACAGGGTTATATCATATAAATATATTTATACAATAAGTATGCGGATGTTATTTTGCATATTTTGCTTGGCAATAATAATAGTAAATAAAAATAATAGCAACAATAATTTGTAATAATAATAAAAATGATATAGTATAACGATCATACTATCAAATTTGTATAAAATACAAATATAATTAATTATAAACAGCTAATTAGTACTATTTTTATGGTAAATATTTTGGTAAATGTGTTGACCGCTTGATTAATAATAATTAATTAATTTATTAAAATCTCAGAAATAGAATTACAATTGTTCTCTGTGCCATACCCATTTTTTATTGGTGTGGTCAAACCTATGTGCTAACCACTGTCTTTCTAAAAGTCTGTATCTTTCAGCACTTAAATATAATGGTTTTCCACGTCTAAAAATGAAATGCAGGTTTATTAAAATAAGTTTGTTATTAATGACATAGTCGAAATTACTTAAGTTCACGATCTTCTTCACCAAAAGCATCCAAATACACAGATCCCCAAAGGCACGCTCTTTTGCCTCTGATAACAACAACTGAACTTGATGTGACTACCAAAAACATAGCTGTTCCACCACCACATTCAATTGAATGCTAAATAACAAAAGTTATAGTAAATATAGTTGCCTTAATTAATGCTTGAACATAACACAAAAATTGAAATCACCAAATATTTTACAAATTATAAAATTAATTGGACATAATTTTTATATAATGCAATAATTAATTAAAAGCTATTAAACTGCAATTAATAGCATTAAAAGTTTAATGTTCCAAAAGTTTTACAATGAATTTAATATGAATGTATAAATGAGTATTTAACTTTTAACACTTAACAATATATTTACCTGAACTGCTTCGCAAACGTTTTCAGTCTTGCAACAATTTTCTTTTAAACACACTACCGTACCACAGACCAAGCATACGCTTGTTTCTCTGGGCACACCATGGCAACGATGACATGGACGTCCATGATAATATTGGAAAACATCATCATACAAATGTGGTAGCTTTAATAGACGGGGACCTGTCCAATTTATTACAGTTACACCAGTATTAGAAACTATGCTGTCAGTATCATCATCATCAACACCCAATAGTTGCCTAGCAGTCATCATCAAAAGTGGTTCATCATCATCATCACTATTTGTTGTAATAGCAATTTTTTTCAATGATTGTCTCACATTAGACAACCATTTAATAGGTATATTGTTATCATTTTGATATTCAACTGGCCAATTACATGCCTCCATTGCTATAGACATAGTTTTGTTAACACTTTTGACTAAATCTAAATGTCTAACTAACATCTGAAATTCATAATCATCCCTAGAAAACTGTTTCGTATAGGTTTTTTTATTTTGCAAGTCTTCTATCTCTTGTATTGACAAATTAGCTAATAATTGATCATCATTTCCACCATATATATGCCTGCGCAATAATGTAGCAAATCGTAAAAATGGTAAGCTACATTGTCTAGCATATGATTCAAAATCATCATCACATGACCATGTACTTTTATTGATTGAATCACACTGACTTTCAAAAAGAAATTCATTAGCCTCACTGATTATGTCATCTTCGATGTCACTTTGATGTAGTACTAAATTTTTAGCTAAACATACAGCACGACTAAATGATAATTTATTTTGACTTGAATTTTGTATACTAATAGCAGTATTATGACTAGAATCACAGGAGCTTATTTCTTTGTAATTGTTATATAGCGATGAAGAAACAGCTACTTTAAGAGCAGTAGCATATAACTGCATGTTATAAATCAATTTAACCAGAGTATCAAATAATTCTGAAAAATAATATTAATTAAAAATTATTAAAATAAAAAAATAAGAAAAAAACTTTTTAAATGACAAAATACATATTTAACTAGCTAATAAAATAAAAAATAATACAATTAAGAAAATAACTAGTAAATAATAACATTTGGACGATTATTTCAGAAGTTATTAACAATTTAAAGTAATGACTGGAGGTGTGGAGTAGGTGTTATTATTTTTATCACTAGTCATTTTCTGACCAGGCTCTTCGTCCTATCTAGGTATGAAATGAGAATAAAATCCAAAATACTAATGTTATTGACCGGTTATTTTCTTAATCAGATAATTTTGTATTTTATAAATTAATTAAATATGTATGTTACCATTAAAAAAAATTAAGTTGACACCTCTTAAAGTTATAAGAGATGATCCTAAAAAGTAATTATTAGCTCAATCAAAAACTATATGTACATAAAAGAAATTAAACATTTTTTTCTTATATTGTATTTATTTTGCCAATAATGGAATAATTTAGGATAAACCGATTATTATGTACAGGGGTTTTTTTTAAGTAGATGTGTCAACATGTGTTTATTGGTAACATTGTTTCCAAAATGCATATTCACGATTTTTCATAGCTTTTTGAGTTAAATATTTTTAATATGATTTTAATTTTAAAGAATATCAGCCATAAGTGATCAATTTTTATCATATTATCTGATTACAATGTTTGCTTACCATATTCAATTGAAGTCGGCAAAAGAAGTATTAACTGTAAAAGAACAGTACTTGGATCACGCAATAATAATGGCAATTGCTTTTGTCGGATATCTGATACTTCTTGGGTATTAGTTATTACTGTAGAACAACTAGGAACATATTCTTGCCCCATTAATTGTGACCAAATTTCTAACAATACATCATCTTGATCATTTACTAAACAACTGCGAGATCTTGCATTTAACACTCTTAATAATGAAGCTAAAAAAAAATGTATTAGATAAAATTACCAATTAGAAATTTTAAGTTGAATAAACTACATACCAGTGCAACTTCGTTTAGGTAACATGTCATAATAATGATAAAAACTTTCAGTAATTTTACTACTACTCTGATGATGTAAATTAGAAGCAAATTTTGATGGTAGTAGTGTATTGTCTCTTTGTATCAATTCTACCTGAATATTTGTCCACGCAATCAAAACAACACTATGCCATGTGATATTGGTAGGATTGCTAGGATATAGTGTTACAGATATAGCACTATTGATACCATTATTGCCACTTATTATCATATCATCTACACATCTATTTATTGCATCAGTTAAATGATTTTGTTCCTAAAGAAAAATTCAACATAAATAACATGATACAAAATCTGTTCAGTAATTAATTTTTTTATCTATACATGAAATAGTAGGGTGAAGTGTGGAAAATGTAAATTAACATTTTTTCTTAAAATATTTAGTAGGTTTCATTTTAGATTGAAATGTCAGTAAGAAATAAAAAATTGTACACTTAATTTAAAAAAAAATGCATTTACAATTACCTCACTTTACACTATAAAAATATAATAATAGTAAAAAAGTAGTTGAGGATTGAAAATCAAAATATTTCATTATAAGAAAAAAAAATGTGTATTATATAGAAAAAAGTGTATTGTAAAAGTAAAATATACTGGGTTCAGGTTATTTTACTGATACTTTCAATCAATTTTTAACGATGTATAATTAAATAGAAAAAAGAAGATTTGTAGAGCAATGGTGATTGATGCGCACTGTGTTCCAAACTAGGTCAAAGGCAGTTTCATTTGCCGAGCAAGAACAGTTTGGTAATTGGACTTGCTAACCTACTCTACAGCCACAGACTAACCAGCTGACCTGGAGTATCAATAGTTAAAGAAACTTCCACCTTAGAAAAAAGTAACTATGGCCTTAATATGGCTTATGGGATTAAAAAAAAAGAACAAGATTTGTTCTATTTAATTTCACTAGCACTAAATATATTTGGTTTTTTTTATTTGTTACAATTTATCTATTTAAGAAAAAATTGCAGCAATTTAAATATAATTTAACTAGAAATAAATTTTATAATGGATAAAAACTTAAATTCAAAAACTAACAACTAAGTAGTGTGTTTTATAGCTATGTAAAAATAATCAATTTTTTTGTTTTAGTTACTAGAAAAATTATACAACTTGAATATTATAGTACATCAAAAATTAAAGTATTATTTAATTTTTTGAACTGTTAATTTTTAATAAAAAATACCATGTAGATATTTCAATTAAATGCTAGTCTTTGATAGTTTTTTATATACTTTACAGCTAATTGTAACATAAACATATTAATATTTGATGAAAATATATAACTATTATATTATAATAGTATTAATAATACTATATTATTATATGATAAAACACTGAAAAATTAGCCAATGCTGGAAAAATGACTTGACAATGTCTGATTTTCAAAAAATTTTTTTATGAAAAACTTGATGACGTTATTATACAAAAATTATTTGCGAACATAAGAAAATATTTTTTAGCACACCGTGGGACTATTTTTACGGTAAACTGCTTTTGGAGTTATACTTTTTTTACACAATACATATTGTGCTTGGAGTAGTCAGGTACTCCTAATGGAATCAGTGGCCTACTTGTAAGGTGAGCCCAAAAAGTCTAATGCACTGTAGGTTCGTGAGGCCCACAGGGCATCAGGTTTGGGATGGAGCTCCAGTTAGGCGAAACCTAGTCACTATTATATTATTTTTAAACAAAAAATTTACCATTGAATTTACTACTATTGAGTAGTAATTGAACTCATTAACACGACTACTTTCTATACTATTGTTATGATCCTCTACAAGTGAAGATAATGGAGACTCTGATAATACACCCATAATTCGAGAAGATAATATACTGCCACTAGTCAATGGCTGGGGAGGATTTTTAATGAGGTATCTACTCTTGGTTAAATGACTTTGTAAAAGTTGTACTAATTGATTAATGGCATCTACATTTTGATACATAACGGAATGAGTTGATTGTTGCTTTGGTTGTACTGGAGTGATCCGGTTCTCAAAGGTTAAAGGTAGTACAGAATTAGCCAGTTGACGACAAAGTGGACAGCTATATTCTCCCCTATAATAATTTAAACATTTAATTCTGAGAAATATATACATTTTTTATTTTAATTATTCATTACCTATCTGATGCATAGCGTTGAGCACCACGCAATGATGCCAAATATGAACGCCAACATCTAAGATGTAAGTAATGACCACATGTTTGCACATGAACTCCTCCAAAAGTTATCCTACCACCAGATTGTAAATTTGATACTGTGATGTCTAAATTCTAAATATATGAAACAAATAAATATTAGTTACTGAAAACAAAAATGATTTAATAGATATACTTTTTAAATTTATTAAATAAACATTATTATACTGTTTTTTTTTAAATATAATTATTTTAATAATTTACCCTAAAATGCTGGTTTAGTAGCTGTCGTCTTCTATCCACATAGGCTCCATAGGTACTAGCAGAATTATCAATAATTCCTTCTGTTATACTTTCATGAGGATTATTGGAATCTTGAGTTTGCAGAAGTAAAAATTGATGGTGCTTAGATGGTGAAGGAGGTAAACCAGGCCAATCTGAATAATCTTCCGAATCTTCTTCTTCAGGTTCTACCATCATAACATCTTCACCATGTTGTAATATATCTACAGCAGCAGCTCCTGCAGCTTGTCCACATCCTTGATCTCCACATCTACGTCTACACTTTCCACTGCTAACCCTACTATTATTTATTGATGAAGATAAAGTACCTTGTTCTCTTTTCCTTTTTCTACGTCTATGTGCTAAAACATTTGTACCCTATAACAAAAAAATATTTAACAATACTTAATATTAAAATTCAAATAATGTTAAAATTAAAATATTGAAAGAATAATACATAATAACATCAACATTAATTATTTTTTAATACTACATAGAAATTTGAGGTCATCTACTTAGCTTAGTTGGCAACACATTACACCTCTATTTGTGTTAATTTTTGTTATGCTGAGCTATGTAAATTTTACCATTCTCTCTATCACAAGCATAGGCTTTTAAGAGGGTGTTTAATATAAATATAAATAGTAATTTATAATTGTCCAAAATACTTACTTGAACAAGAATTACTAGACCAACTGGATCTTGTTTTTGTTGTTCATTAACAGTTACTGTTTGATTGCAAATAACACAATCAACAGTTGTTTCAAAAATAGAACTATTTAGATTGTCATATTTTCCAGGTTTCTCAGTTTCAATATTAATGTTTTTACTTTCATTAGCTACTTCAGTTATAATTTGTTTAGAATTATTTTTTTGTTGATTTAGCGTAGCATTAGAAGACACATTTTCTACTTCTGTTTGATTTTCAGGTGAATTGGTAACCATAGTTGTTCGATTAGATGTTGACATTTCTTCATCATAGTCCATACTAAAAGAATTACTACTAGATTGTCTAGGCTGAGAGGGTTGATCATCACTAAGTAATGTTGATGGCATTGATGTAGAAAGTTCAAGTTCACCAGAAAGACGAGCATTTTCAATAAAAGCTCTTTGTGCTCTAGCCATTTCTTCCATCATGCGACGCTGTTTATCATGAGCTCTTCTTTTACGTTCTCGCCTCTCACGCTCTTCTAAATCACGAGTAGCAGCTTCCCTGGCTACAACAGCTCTTGGCCATAATTCATTACGAGCACGTGTAACACACTCATAGGTCAAAGAAAATCCAGATGACCCTCCTCCAATTGATGCAATTCTATCTAAAAGTCTACCAATGTAGTATGCTCCATCACCAGGTTGATCTTCTTGTTGGCTGAAATCTTTTATAGGTGAAGATGGAGGTTGATAAGAATCTGGACGACCTGATAACTGAGAGTGTAATCTCAGCAACAAAGAAATAATGCTCTCATTTATTGAAACTGATTCCCCAGGAGACATATTACTATCCTGAAATCATAACATAACATAAACTGTTAGTTATAATACTAATAAATAATTAATTATTTTACATACATGAGATTTATCATTTTTCTCTTCTTCAGCAGATCCTGATAGATTAGAATTGGAATTACTTATTTCATCATTGTAATTTGTCTGTTGTTTTGAATGAGAAGCTGAAGGATTTTTAGTTCTAGAGCCTGATGTTTGTGATGATTGATTTTCAGAATTTGAAGTTAAACTATTATTGCTTAGAAATTGTAAGTGTTGTTTAACACGGTTGAGTGCAGAATCAGCTAAAACAATAATTTTATGTATAAAACAAATAATTAAAATTAAACACCCAATAAATTTTACAACAAACTCATACTAAGTTATAACATTAGTTAATGTAAATATTTCTACTTTAAATTAAAAAATAATTAATGTATCTAAAACTCAAACATTTAATGTTAAGGGACATAGCCTTTAAAAATCCTCCTCAATTTTTATCTTTACTTCTTCACTAAAAAATTGTAGTTTAATAAATTATTTAATATTTACCCATTGAAGTACTAGATGTTGTATTAACAGAAGTAGTAGTTAGAGTATTTATTGTGGTGTTGCTATTGCTATAAAATGGTGCTATTGCAGAGTTAAAAATGTTTGTTGAAGGAAGAATAGAATATGATACTGTTGCTGAAGTAGATGAAGATGATGTTGGAGGTAATGGTGATATTTCATCACTGGCCAGAGTAGCTAATGAAGGCACTACTATTGAACTACTACCTTGCTGCTGTTGATTAATGTTTTGTTGTCGATCTATAAACAAATTTAATACCATAAAACTTAAAATAAATAACCTATTTACAACAATATAAATTATAGGATAGGTAAAATTAAATATTATTTTATTTTATATATCTCTACAAATATTTTTAGGTTGGGATGCAAAAAAAACCCTAAAAAATTTCAATCCATAACATTTTTTTCTTCATATTTTTACTAAATATATTTATTATAATAAAACTGTATTAGTAGTATGATCTTAATTTTTTTTTTTAATAATGATTTTTTTAACACATAAAGCGCTGACGTCAACGAGTTGTCAACAAAACTTATTTGTTTTCTACAATAGACGTCAACAACTCATCTTAGCTCTTCCAATAGTACCAGGCTACAAGTCATTTGTTCATTCGCCTCCGCCTCAGTAATACCTATTATATTGATAAATTTAACGTTAATTGCATTTTCAGCTATTATTAACAATTTATACTCCTAACGAAAGTAAGATAACCAATTCATCAGATAAATATTTCATTAATACTTACATTATTATAAATAACTTCTATTAATTCTAAGAGCTTTACACTATGCTGAAAGTTCATCAATTGGTAACCCAAAAACGGACAATACCTAGATGATACAACGCCATTGTTTGAATTATTTCATAACAGAATGAAATAAATATATTATCCATCAAAAGAATTGAGTTTAGATGCTTTTTTGGCGTGAGTGTCTTTAATTTCCGTCAATAAATTCAAAATAAAAAACACAAATTTGGCATAAAATTTTATATGCTCACCCAACCGGATAGTCTTGTCCTAAAGACAAGATTTTATCGTGGATCAAGTGACCCAATTGTGGGAGGTAAGTGCCATATTGATAAAGTAGTAAAATATTTGATTGACAACTAATATAGAGTTGCACATACCGTTTATATGGACAACTTTTATAACTCCGTCAATCTTATCAAATACTTATTAGACAAATATATATATATATATATAACAGGGACTAAATGTCATCAATAAAAGAATAAAAAAAGAGAAAGTGACATTTGCATATAAAATTAAGAGGATTTGTGATATAAAATAGCAAGATAAATAGGATGTGTTAATTACATTGTCAGAGTTTGGGGATGCTATGAATATCATGCAAGAAGTAACAATGTAACAATGAAACCGAAGGCTGTACAAAAGTACAATGAATTTATTAGTGATGTGGACCGTAATGACTAACTCATGAGCTACTATTCTTATGAAAGGAAAATACTAAGATAGTATGCTTAAGTCACATTACATATCTTTCATGTAATGATGAATAATGATAATCTGTTATACAAAAAACAACCTAGAAATCAAAACATCAGATTGATTGATTTCAAGGATTCTGTAACGATAAATTCTTGTATAACCACAATAATTTAAATACAAAAATCGCAAAACAAAGGAATACATTTACTTTCTTCATTTCCCAGAAACATAAAAGTAGGCCAATTAGAAAAAAAGTGTGTAATTTGTATCATAAACAAAAATAAGCTAGAAACTTCATACTTCTGCAACAAATGCACAGATAAGTCATGATTGTGCTTAAATACATACTTCAAAATATATCATGGGTCTTAGTTATTTATTTAAGATTGCATTTAAAGTTTTTAAAATTTATATTTTACGTTTTTTATTTACAAAGTGTTTCTATTACCAGTTGTTTATGAGTATATTTAATTATTGATCTATTATTATTCTATATAAAATATATTAAAATAAACTTAAATAAATTATGTAATATGTTTCAATTATGTGAAAGTTCATTAACATACTATTTATCATAATGGCATATAGACACAAAAATACAAATTCGAAAATTGTAGATGAATTGTTGACAACTACATTTGTGAAGAATGCTGTCCATTAAAGCTGATATTGACTATGCATCAATAGTCATTTTATGGTATAAAAGCAGAATATTGGTAAAGTTAAGTGTTGATATATGTAGAGTAAAAGTAACCCTTTTGTTAGGGGCTTGTTTAATAGTTGAGGATCTTGGTCAAAACCAAGAATCGGAAGCTACCTGACGTCTGCCCAAATATCGTTCCTATCTCCTTAAATGAGTTTTAATTGCCTGAAGGAGACACAGGCAATTGTATACCTTAGTTGCAGGGGATAGATTATTAAATAAAATTAGACTATTGTTTTATGTCAACGACAAAGTAAAGTTATATTTTAGATGTTTAGTAAATATAAGTCATATGTAATGTCTGACCTGAATCCTAGTACAGTTAGTTAGTAGGTATATCCTACTAACGACGGAGTTGGTTGGCTATGATGACAATTGGCGATAAACGAGTCGTTGAATAAAACAAGTTAAGTTATAAATAATATAAATAAGACGTAAGTAATAATATTGAAAACTATGTCTATAACGGCCACTCAAACACAACTGCCCTTTGTTAGTTTGACGTCAGTAGCTCCTGGCTACAGACGAGTAGAAATGTCACATCAGCATCTCCCTCTATGCTAATTAATATGTATTACGAATTAAATAAATAGAAATAAAACGTGTGTAATATAAGTGGTAAGAACATAGTAATAAATGTTCTTACACTTTAAACCAAATTAAAATTTCCGCACAAGGGGGTTGAACATTATATATATATAATATTACATATTCCCAACATAAATAGATTTCTTTCAGTTAATACAAAGTAAATATTTATATATTCATACATGTATCATTAAGAAAATGTAAAGTATTACATTTTTAACTATTATATTAAATAAGGATTTTTATCAAAAGACCAGAAACATGAAATTTTTTTAGTTTTGTTAAATTGAAAAATAAATAAAATATTATAATTACCTCTAGATGAAAAGGTACCAGAACTAGATAAAGCACCTCCAAGGTATTCCAATAAATTACCAGTTCCAGATGTCATTGAACCAATACTTAAAGCTATATTTTCTTTTGACAAGTATTCATGAGGTGGTATAATCTTTTTAGGTGGTAAATCAATAAATGTTATTATAGTTCGTAAGTTTAAACTTAAATCATCACTTTGATACCATCTTTCTAATAGGGACTGTGGCTCTATTGTTTCACATTCAGAGATATTATCACACACATTTTTAATTTTAATACGTCTTTTAGGACATATATTGTCATCATTGTTACTCTGGATTTCTTCTTTTTTATTATAATAGTTTATATTAAGGCTATCATCATTTCCTATAAAATTTTCTTGTATCTGAAATCGGTGAGATTGAGGCGGGGAATCAGTTTCCATAGGTTCATCATACTGTTTTGTTTTTAATTCTAAACTAGAACTTTTCAATTCGTGAGAAATGTACATATTTTGTACTATATCACTTGTCATGTTTTGAGTTTGCAATAATGCTACTTTCTTTAATTGTTTTGATTTTTCTTTTCCCTGTCTTTCTTGATACAAAGCAACTGATTGATCCAAAAGAAAAACTAATAAACTTAGAGTATGTTCACTTATATCACGACTACCTCTTGCAGCTCGATAAAGTGAATGCCATGCAACTGCATGCCATGCACGAGACTCTAAAAGTAAACGTCTTGGATCTTGGTAGGCAGGATGATGATGCCTAGGATTGCGGTAAGGTGGCCAAGGCATAGTACTACTTGAAGAAGAAGTACTGGAAGAAGAACTAGTATTTGGTTGATTTAGTTGTAAATTTCGGTTATTTAATAAGCCTCTAGATCTCACACTAAAAAAACATTATAAAACAGATATTTATTTAGTGTAAACACAATTATAATTAATTCTATGTAAACATCAAAATATTATAAAATATTAAGTCACAATTAAATATTTAAACTTTCCTAAAAATAAAAATTTTGAATGACAAACTTAGAAAAAAAATAGTAAAAAAAAGATTTATAATATAAGTAAATAAATTACCTCCCTTAGAAAGAAAGGTATTTTATAGAAGATATTTTTTATTTAAACCTTTAGCAAAGTCAAGGAATAATTTTTTCACCCATCTGAATTTGGGCAAGCCTAAGGAATATTTCCATATTTTTAATTTTTATATAGTATTATACAAAAATAATATTTATCTATTATTTAATCTTAATTATTATTTTATTTCATTAGTTAACAAAATATACTGCTTTTTAAGAAAACAACCCATTTTTTAAATATTTTCCAAAATAAATTTTGTTTTGTTTTAATATTTACTTACAATGCTGTATAACGATCCATCGAAGACTGAAAGTCACGGCGATGTACAGCTCTTAATAATACATGTATTGGATCATAAAGTTTTAGCCAAACATCAGAACTCTTGTCATCTTTGACTTTTCCACTACTTCCTTTAGGCACATATAGACCTTGTTGCATAGTTCCAGATGATCGTTCATATTGTGGCTTTTTATATTCAGCAACCTTAGTAAACACAAAAACATACATAATAAAAATGTAGAATATCATATAAATTTGTTGTATATGTGTTGTTTAAAAGTGTAATAATAAAAGATTGAATAAACAATTCTAGGGCACACACAAATTAACCTACTAATCTGAAATTTATTTAAAAATTTTACCATTCTCAAAACAGTTTCAAAATCACGATCAGAAGAATTTGTTGATTGATTAACTGATGAACTAGTTCCAGCATTTATAGAACCACTTCCTACAGTGTTAGTAGATCCTCCACCACAACACCGTTCAGGCATAAGTTCCATAAGTTGACTATGAGTTTTATCTGATACACAAAGTAAAGTTACCATTTCTAATTGGGTTTGGCAGTAATTGTAATCTTCATCCGTACCTTAAAAAAAAAAAAATTAATTAAAAGTAAATTTTTTTTTTTGTTAATTTATAAGTTTTGTTTTTAAACAATACATACATAAATTAGTTCTAACAGACACTAAAGTCGCTAAAAACACTAGTAAACTCTCTAAAGAACTTGGAGTAACGTCATTCATTGATCCGTTATAATCTATACCAGATTCATTTTCATTGCTATTTCCTGTAACTATTGATCCATCATTTCCATTATCACAGACATTCTCTGTCCCACCAGAAGGACCTTTCATCATTGAAGGGAGACCTAGTGATCCACATGGTTTCATCCACTCGTCTGCTTTAAACCTAATAAAAAAAAAGTTATTATGCATAATTTTAATAATTTAAGATTTATACATATTTTACAATATTTAATAAGACTCACTTGTCTAAAATTAGACGCATGAATAATGAAACATTGGTCACCTCTGATAAGCACAATTGTAACAAATAAATATCAGCATCAACCATAGAAATACAAAAATTTGACTGAACATATGTCATGGCCTGGCCTTTGATTTGTAGACCATTTCTAACCCAAGCCCCTTGAGTCATTATCTCATAAAAGGCAGCTTGAGCTCTTAAAGGGTGTTGTGCAATGCTCAAAAGTATATCATCTAACATATTATTGTAAGTAACATCATCAGAGTAATTAGGACTAAAATTAGATGCTGGTAAATCATGTGATGTATCCATAAATGAATCTCCAATCTTTGCATTAAAATTTGAATTCAATGGATAAACCTCAGCTATTAATTCATGTAATAACTCATGAATAACACGATTTTGTGATTCTGTCTCATTTCTATTTTTTTTTAATTCATCTTCTTTTTGTTGATAAGCTGTTCGTATAGCTTGGCAAAGAAATACTGCTAAGTAACGATGTAATGGAAGATGAAAAGTAAATTGATGGCGATCGGATGTGTCATTTATATAATTTTTCATGTCCCAAATTATATCACTCTTTTCCCCTTTGACATCTCTTAGCCATTTCAATAATCTTTTTAAGCAAGCTTTAATAACTCTTTTTGATAATTTCAGAGTTTCAGCATCTTCAGACAAACACTTCAATTTATCTATATTTTCATTAGTTTTGTTTGATATTTTAGAACATGATGAAGATAAGTGAGATAACATAGCCCACATAGGATATGCGCTAGCTTCAAGCTCAGCACTAAATGCTGCATAATACGTGTTAGGTTCAAATTCTACATGATGACCTAATTCTCTGCAGTTGACATTCATTCCTTTAATATAAAAATAAATTACTTTAAAAAAACAAAACATTACTTTTAGTAATCAAACTTACCTTGAAACATTGATAAATATGAAAACCATGACCGAAGTAAGCGATCATCTCGCATAAATCTAACAGCAATTGGTCTATGCGAAAGAACATTATTCAGATCACTAACTAAAGGCCAGTAACAATGTTCTTTCATTACTGGTTTACTACAGTCAACTACTTTATGTCTATTTTTTGTAGGATCTATAATTGTTAAACAAATAAAGAAAAGACCAATTATTAAATGAAAATAATTTAAAAAAACCAATACATGATGAAGTGAAACTTCTTTTGTTATGAATATATCGCGTAAAAATTGCATCTATTGTGTTTTTTTAAATTTCTTCATGCACAATCAAAATTATTTGAAATTAAATAATTTAATAAATTTAAAATAAAATTACTTTAATTTCCAAAAACACAGTGCTTAATAATAATATAAAATATACTTTACAGCCTACTGTGGTTAACAGTGATGCCGACTGTGACACTAGAAAATTTGTTTTTTTTTTTGAATCCTCTAAAAGAAATTTCACTTCAAAAGACTAAATTAAACCTTTCAATAACAGACTATTTATCACCCATAAAAAAAAAAATGATTTAATAAAACCTAACCAGAATAGACAAATGATAAGAATTTACATATTCAACATTAAATTGTTTATAAACACTAGAACAATTTTATCAATCAACTTTAATTAATTAATATTAATATTAAATTAGTAGTTAATTATAGTTCATGTGATGAAATTCAAACTTCAATAAGTGTTAACTATCTTTATTATAAATTTTAAAGTGTAAATAAAATTCCCCCTAAAAAAATTAAAAATTCAATCATAGTGGGAACTAATATAAATTGAAGTCTAATAGTGATTAAAATCACTATCCAAAAACACATTAATGCAAACATGCTTGGAAGAATTTAATTTTCTAACTTTCTTTGCTTGAAAGTTTTTCCTTAACATATATCTGATAATACACAAATAATAATTGTAAAAACCCTCTTTTTAAATATTAGTTTAAAACAATAATTTAGTAACATTAATCTAGTAGAAACTGAGTATTAATATAAAAAATAAACACATTAGAGTAAAATCAATAATGATTCATGTTTGCATCAAAGTTGCTAAAATTAAAGAGCTAAAAAAGAATGGCGTTAATCATGATAAAAAATTTAATTAAAATTTTTTGAATATTTGTTTTAATAGGATAAGTATGCTATAATATTTCCTAAAACTTAATATATCAAATAGGTATTCAATTACATTACCATGCAATGAAGATGGTATGAGTATAGCATTCATCATTCCACGTAAACTCTTAACCATTACTTTTAGAAGACGATGTCGCACCACCATCCTTTTAGCTAATGATTCATTACTAAAAAGTTGTACACTAATGTGTACTATATGATTGGATAATGTATCAGAATCACGAGTCGTTGCAAGTACTTTTGCAACACATCCATAATGAGATGTGAATGCTTCTGTTAAACATCTCTTATAAGTCGCATCAGGCAGCATGTTTAATAAGAAACATACAATTTTTTGGGGAAATTCATAACGTACAGTCCAAAAAACTATTTCTTGAAGAAAAGTACTATGTGATAAATATTTATTTTTCTTTGTTGAAATTTTATTTGATGTTAATTTAGATTTCTTCTTCCTAATTTTTTTCTTTTTTTGTTGTATTCTAGTTTTAGGTTTCATTCTCATTTGAACATCTTAAGAAATAATAAAAATTATAAAATCAAATAGGGAATTAGTGGTAAAAAATAGCTGTGATAAATAAAATTAAATAATTACCTTGTACACTTAAAACCTCACAATTACTTTCATCTTCCGAAGAATTACTAGAGCTACTAAGACTACTATTGCTAGAATTGTTTGTACTATTATTTTTATAATTCTGATGATTCCAATTTTGAATCGATTGGTGACCAAGTGTTGGAGTATTTTCAAGACCAGGTGGATCAGGAGTACCTCCTAAACCAATATTGTATTGCCTTAATGCTTGTGCATACAAAGCTCTCACTCTATCAGCATAAATGGTGTACATAGTATTCACAGTAGAAGTAGCAGTTGATGAAAAAGAAGCAAAAGGCTGTTGTATTCTTTGTTCTTCTTCTTTAAGTACAGTTTGACTAGAATAACTTTGTACATTTGAATTACTATTATAATAATAATTGCATGCCCATTTGTAAATCTGTTAATTAAAAAATATAATTATATAATAAATAAATAATATTGTTATATATTTAATTTAAGTTATTTTAAAGTTCAAAAAAAACTTTTTTTGAAAACCTAATAATAAAAAAACATTATCAAACCTTTTTATTCTTATACAATTGAAAATACATTTTATATACTGAGTGTTCAATAAGTAAGGAAACAGGCCAGTTGTTACAAATAATGAGAACAATAAAAACCCATTTCCATACTGAACACCTATATAGTTTAATAAGATTTTATATATAGACAAAACATCCCTAAGACATAGTGTTGTAATGGTTCAATCTACAATAAATATAGTTTAAAAAAACTAAAAAAACATGCTTTTAAAGCACATTGAACTAAAAAGTTAAAAATAATTTTTAAAATAAGCTTAAAACAATAATGAACGAAAAATAGTAGTATTATTGTGATAAAGGCGTCGGGCGCTCAATATACGAAAAAATATGACACAAAGCACCCACGCTTTTATCGCAATAATAGTAGTATTTTTCGTTCATTATTGTTTTAAGCTTATTTTAAAAATATTTTTAACTTTTTAGTTCAATGTACTTTAAAAGCGTGTTTTTTTAGTTTTTTTAAACTATATTTATTTTTTACTTTTTAGTTTCATGTTATGATAGTAGTTACTATCAATATCATAGTTGTAACGAGTAACGGGAAAACAGGGTTCGATTCCGGGGAGGGAATCTGAAAAACGGCTACCACATCCAAGGAAAGCAGCAGGCACGTAAATTACCCACTTCCGGAACATGGAGGTAGTGATGGAAAATGACGATACGGGAATCATTCTTTGTAATCGGAATGAATACACACTGTATCTCTAATGAGAATAAAGCGTGTTAATATATATTGTTAATAGTAATTAGAATATATATATATATATATATATATATATATACATGTAAAAGGACTTAAGTACATAAACGTATAATGCATAAGGTATAGCTGTGTTTTGTGTGGCGGACGGGGTGATGGGGAACGTTGTACGCCAGGCATATGTGGCGGCTGTAGGAATATATATATATATATATATATGTATATGTATACATATTTATATATATACACATACATACATACATAAACATGGTAAAGCGACATAATTACATAAATGTATCATCCACTAGGTATAGCCTTGTTTTGTGAGCAGGGGGAACGTTATACCTAAGGTATAAACGGCGGTAGAAATATATAAATATATATACGTAAGGCGCATTACACGTGGGCGGTATTGGTCAGTCAAAATAAAAATTTGTTTATATATATCTAATTGTTGTCACGCACACGTGTACGGGTACGAAAACCAAAAATAAAATTTTTCAGGAAAATATTGTTGTCAGCGAGAGGTGAGCGGGGCGGGCTGAATGCGTTACGACAGTCTAGTCTAAAAATGGAGAAATTATTTTTATTTTTCAAATAACCACTGTATAAAAACAAATATGTCGATGATTTAAGTTTCTCTGGAAAGATGACCACTTTTTTTTTTTAATAAAAAACTTAAATCATGTTATACAATTAGTTTTTAAACAGTAGTTATTTAAAAATTAATTACTCATTTTTTGTAAAATGGTCCTTTTAGGACCAATCTCTAGAACTATTTCTTACCCTTTCATCAGTTAATGTTACAGTCATTAATCTACGCATTGCAGCCCCAAGTCCACTTAGATCATGTAAAACACTTAAAAATGGTTGCAGGTCATCTAAATTTTTATTAATAGAGTTCATTTGTAAATTCTGCTGTAAGTGATGAGATTGAGGCTGAAAATGCTGTTGTTGGTGTACTTGTTGATGTTGTTGGATTTGACCACCAACAGGTAAAGCATGACCCATTGTTGTTGTAATGCCTGGTCCTCCAATTGTTATTAAAGGTCGATTATGGTCAATAACAGTGGATGTACCAGATAATATTCCTCCTTCATGTTTACTGTATGAAATTAATATATTATTAATTTAATTCTAATACTTACTAGAATACTACAAATTTAAAATTCATTCATTGCATACCGTCAATCAAATGTATTGTACAATCATGAATTGCATATAAAATTACCTTAAATCAAAATCTCCATTAGCATCACTATTTTCTCTTAAATATTGAACAAGTCGTAATAATAATCTAGGCATCAAGCGTTCTGCTACTCTCAATAAATCAGTTGGTGGTTTTTTGTAATTTTTTGATCGACTACTACCACTACTATGATTTCGGCAAAATCTAATAACAAAAAATAATTAGTTAGACAGTTTACTTCAAGTATGTTAATTTAAATTAATTAATAGAAAAATAGACATGCATGGTCAATTAGGTAAAAACATTAATTAATTTAAAAAACTAAAAATGCTGTAGTACCCATCAGCTTTCATAACACTTGTATCACCGCAATCACAAGCACCACCAGCTTGTGAACGAAACATGTTAAAATCATGTTGTGCATGGTCTCCAGCTTTAAAACAATCAGCACATAATGACATGCAAGGTGAGATACTACAAGTTCTACAACGATAGGCCACATAATTAGCTGTCCATACCAATCCACAACATGTACCATAATCATATTGTTTGACTAAAACCAAAAAATATAACTAGATAATAAAATAAAATAATATAAATATTTTATTTATTAAAAATAATATATATAACACAAACTAAAGGCCTATGATTCTATGGTAATAATAATAATAATGTACATTTGATAAAATAGTTTGAATGACTTTATTTGAAAATACAACTTAGTCATGAAAAATAATTTAATCATTGTCTGTTTATAAGAAGAGTAACAAATCCCAACATAACATATATAGACCCTATTGAAAAATTAACTAAAATAAAATAAACAAGTTTGTTTTATTTTAATTTTTTTTTTTCAATAATAAATTTTTCTTTTATTTATAAATATGTTTAAAATATATGAAGTATGTTCATAGTAAATTTTAAGACATAATATGTCTTTAAATAAATCTTGAAGTAAAATAAACTGAAAAGTGTATAAAATATGTATGAACATAATTTTAAATTAATATATATATATATATATATTTGTATAACATTGAAACATTGGTAAAAAACTTTAATCATGAATAGAACATTAGTGTAACATTTATAATAAATAAAAAAAAAAATATTAATAAATATTTATTCATAAGAATTTTTTTAAAATACTAATTTTGATTAAAATAATTCAATTATCTTAAATAGTAATTATTATTAAATATTATTTTAAATAGTTAAACAGTTTTTATTAAATATTAACACTTAATATGTATTTAATATTCAATTAAAATACAAATGAATAGTTAAGTGTTTGTAAAAGTGCATTAAGCCAACATATAAATTAATTAGTAACATAAAATTAATCTTAAATTCAAAATTAATTTATTTACCTAAGCTGGTAAATTCATCCAAAGTTCTTCCACCAGCCATTAACCATCGTATCCAATCTAGTTCACCACCACTCACACCAACATTATTTATGGCATTTAATGGATTTAATAGAACATCTAACAGCTGATCAAGTAATCGGCAACGACTTAATTGTCTCATAGCATCAAAATCTGAATCAGATTCAGAGTCTGATTCTGAAGAATTATAAGAATCTTCTTCATAAAATTCTTCAGTCTGACAGGAAGTAGGACCATCAAAACTTTTTGTTTCATCCATAGATACATCTAAATCTTTTTGTACTTTTTCTTCATTGTTGATTTTTTTCAAAATTTCGTTATCTAATTTCTCACACTCCGCTGCTATTAAGGCTGCAGCACCTCGCTTTCCTTTTTTCATAAGCATATAAGCAGCAGCAGCACCATTATCAACTGAACCACCAGCTGAATCATCAGTAGACCGTTGAGTATCATCTGTAGACAATTCGGCCTCATCCATAATTTTTATAAGCTATTTAAATTAATAAAATACACAAATTTAAATTACTATCGGTTGAAAGATGACAACCGAAATTAATATCCAAAAATGAAAACAGCAAAGATAGTAACATCATAGTATTTAATTCTTTGTTTAATAGCTGTTGTTTAAAAACAACATTGTCTCCATCGGTTTAGGAATTTGAAATATAACAACGTCGACAAAAAAATTGTATATAATTTTTTATAAAGATAACGAAATTATGTTTAAGTACTTAATTAAATAGGACTAGTGCCAAAAAAACACGCACGCACCTCTTTAAAATATTTGATACTTTAAATTTTAAATTAACTAACATAAGTTTATAAAACCAAATATCTGCAAAATAAAAATTTACAGATATAAATCACATGAGAAAATTTACTCTTTAGAGGATGATGATTATATCATCAGAAATCAGTAGTAACCCCTACTCTCGCTTACGCCATTGACATAATAACAATATTCCTAAAGAGAGAATAATCAGCTATAACAACTATTGAGTGGGAAAAACTTGTAACTTCTCACTAAATAGAAAGGAACAGCTTGTCAATGAGTGCAACAAAGATGAATAGATATGAATCACCACTACCATTGTCATAAGCAGCACTACATAAATTATTTTCTATCTCACTTACAGAACCTCATAATCGACTACCGGCCACCAAGATCTGTGTTGTTTTTAGTATGAGATGATAACATGGAGGTAACACGAATTGTTATCGAGGTAAAGATTTTTCAAAGAAACAATTTGAAGAAAATCACGGTTTTTACAACAATTTCGTAAATATTGTTGGCAAAAATGAAATATTTTCCACCTCATTTATCTCACCAATTGATGGCTTTCTCTCACATTAGTCATAAATACTTATTAAAAATCAAAAATTATTGTAAATAGTTTGTTGTAGATTATTTTTGAAAAATACGACAATTGCATTTATTTCACAGGGTCGACATGTACATTAAATTAAACCCTTGCAATGACAAAAACAGTTGATGTTATTTTAGTACACTACTTATAAGTGTCCTTAAGAACAGAAGAAAAATGTTGAATTTGAAAATATCAAATATAGTTTATAAATTTATAATTTTTTCATACAAAAATTGAAATAAAAAAATGTATACTACTCGAATAGTCTTCTGAATAGAGTATAAATGCTAATTAAAATTCAATTAGAGATTCATTTTTTTATATTAAATAGTAGTAGAGCTATGTTTAAATATTAATACTGAACAGTGTAATGAAATAAACCAAAATAAAAAACTTAGTTATTTTTTTAATTATCAATATCATAATTCTAATTATTAACTTTTTTTAATACATTTACAAACAATAATTTCATTATTTATACTAAATAATACAAGAATTTTTTTTTGTAGTTGATATAAAATTTTATTATACAAATTTGGTTAACTATTAGTTTATTGACCCGATACACTTGACATATTTATTCCAATGTTATTTGATCCTCCAGAACCAGATGACACAATAGATTGGCCATCAATAATGATTGATTGTGATTGATTCTGTTGTGTTTGGCTAAGAGATAAATTACTATTCATTAATAATGCTGAAGAATTACTACTATTAAATTGCTGGGATGATACCATTCCCATTGATAACGATGACCCCGGATTCAAACTGTTTGATGAGGATGAAGGTGGTGGTAAACTAGTTTGTGGATTAGATGTTCCATAACCAGATCCAACTACATTACTTCCATAATTACCAAGTCCAACTCCAATGCCAGGAGTAGATCCTCCAGTACTAGTGTTTCCACCACCAGATCCACTACTACCAGTAGAACCTATAGTACTGCTTCGTAAAGCACGGTATTTTGTTAATTCATTAGGAAAAGCATGACCAAGATCAGCGAGCATCTGTGCTTTAAATTTTCTAAGTGCATCAATTTTTCCTTTAACCTGTTCATTTTTGTTTAAAGCTTTTTCAATACAATCTTTTGTATATAATTGTGGATTTCTACCGCGATCAATATAGCTAAAAAAAATGTAATGATTAAATTTTACATTTAAAACAATTAAAAGAAAACCTAATTACAATAATAATTACTGAACGTTTAAAGAGGGAATCAATGATTTATTACTTGTAACAGGTGAAATATTAGGCAAAAATGAGTTTAGACATTAAGTTTTACCAATATATAAATACTTTATTGCAAATAAATTTTGTTTAGACTTTAATTTTATTACTTAAAATAAACATTTCATTTGAATCATATGCAAATGATTATTATCAAATCATTTTCAAACAATGATATTATTTTAAACTACTAATATATTTATAATTTATTGAAAATAAAAAATAAAAATATCAATAATAACAATACATACTCAAAAACTTCTAAAGGTACATGAATATCTTGAACAGCTGATTTTAGTTTATTAATTTCCTGTAAGCCTTGAACTGCATTTTGACTAAAAATATTTAAAAGCATAACTAACTTTTATATTCTCATTACAAATAAAAACTTCATTATAAAATAATAAACATGACTGAGTTTCTTACATTTTTTGATTCAACACTGTTTGGCCCTGAGGTTGAAAATCTGTAACTATTATCCGTATTTGACGTACGTTTTCGACAAACATTTCAAGTTGTGTTTCTAAATCTTCGAGTGAAGCTGCAGCAGCAGCTGCTGCTGAAGATGCAGTCATTGATAATTTTTTTGAATTTTGATTTATTACTAATTATTATATTATAAAAGTAATTAATGGACAACTATAATTCTTTAAAGACATTACATGTTGGCTGTTATCTTATACAAGATTATAAACTTTATCTTATTAAAACTTGATAAAACTAAATAACAATAAAATCAAAGAATAAATCACCAATCGCAGAATAGATTTTATTATAATATGAACTCATAGTAGCAGTGTAGTCATAATAAAGAAAAAAAAAATTAATAATCAGCACTGTTTAATAATGGTTAATTTAAAAAATAAGTACATGTAATTTATTAAAAAACATAGTTAATTTTGGGTATTTTATTCTATTGAAATAAAATAATTTCATTATTTTGAAATATAATAAAATATCTTATAAATTGTATGTAGCACATATGAAGGAGTGTTTCGGGTTAAAAAAAATTGTGTTAATTCAAAATTATTATTTAATTTTTTTAAGTTCTTACAAAAGTATCATTCTTAGTATATAAACTTAAAATTCGGAGTAATCAATTAATCATCCTACTTGGAGGATCGTCGTAATGAAATCAAAATTATTGTAACCCGGTATTCGCAGTAATTGTTTTGATTTTTTTACTATGCCGGAACATTATAAGTTTGTGCCCCATAACTCTTAAGTTACTTCAAACTAATAGTGCGTACAATATTTAGTTAATTAACTCTAAGCAAAATTAATTACAAACAAATTTTAATTAGATCAAGACGAGAAGATAAAAAGTACAAACATATATTAAAAAATTTGTCTTCACATCACAATTGTGACTTATAAATACGCTTTATGGAAAATTATTATCATCCGCGGTTGTAATTCAAATAATTTAATATACCATAATGCTGCATTTTATACACAAAATGGATAATAATAGTTTATTATCTATATCTGTGGTTCTCTCTAAGACTGTGTTAATAGCTAATATTTTGATGATAAGATAAGATCGTCGCTATCGAATTTGTCAATCATTTAATATTAAAGTCAAAACATTTTACATTTTTTAGGATTTCTTACTACTTAATTAACTTATTTACATTATAAAAATTAATCAACACAGTGTAATTGTGTTGATTAATTTTTGAAGAATCATGTGGAAAGTGTCAGCAGGTTATACATTAAAAAGACACGAAGAGTGAGTATTATAAAAACTTAAGATAAGCTTAAGTCGATATTTAATTGTTAATCCTTGTAAGTACTTTGTCTTTGACAAATTAATTTCTAGCCCTTTAAGTATATAATTATAGGTTAAATATGATAAAATTCTAACATTTGATATAATTGGTATTCATTTTATTCATTCACAAAAGAAATTCATTTGATAATTTTTAATAGTAATTTATTAAATATATTTTTATCAAATATTTTTTTCGATGAGAAATTTTAAAAACATTTGCCTTGTTAAAGACATACTTTTTTTAAAAATCTAATCGTTAACTGAAATATTGGGAGAATATTCAATTTTATAACATTGCAAAGAGCATAATACAATGTACTTGAAATAAAATAAAGGAAAATTATCAGAAATTTCAATTTCTAGGAGTTGTTGGGCATTAATGCAAAAAATCATAAAATTTTCAGTAAAAATGGCTGATTTTGTAATAAAAAATACTAGTATCATTTTAAATTATTTCATATTAATGATTTTTTGATGTGATATATATCTTTATTTAATAAAAACAATAATGTTACAGCGACTAATTCCCTTTGAGTATTCAGCCTCTTGAGTTAAAAATCATGTAATTTTTTATAAATATAATATATATTTTTAATTTGTGTCAAATACGCATCAAAGCGTTTTAAGACAGTGATTTTAATTACTGTAAGATATTATCTAATACTAAAAAGAAAAAAAATGACCCACTTTTTCTACACTATATCCTAGCTGTACTTAACTTTATTAATCTTGATGATACAGAAAATAGTTTTACGGAACAATAATAATGTATTTTATAATAAATGCAATTTTAATTTTTTCTGTAAAAGATAATATAATTTTTATTTTAAAGAATTCTATTACTTATGTTTAATTCTTGAAACTCAATCTCTTGTGTTTGCTAATTGCAATAAAACTATTATTTTTTGCTTGAAAAGTGAATATTAAATTTATCACTATTTATTAAAATTAAGTATTTCATAATTTGAAAAAATCAAAATTAATATTTAAACACAATTTTGCTATTAAAATTTGATTGTTATCAAAACAATATACCTTTTTCCAAATTTATAAAAAAGGTTCTTGTAAGATATTTTTCCTGTCTCTTCAATAATAACTATGTTGGGAATTATTTTTCAGTCCATACATATAACCAAAAATATTATTTATATTGGAAATCTAATTAAAAAAACAAAATCTTGGTAGGTTTGTAGTTTTTATTTTTAACTGGAGTATTTTTGTTTATACATCAATGCTATGTATTCAATATATTTATTTTAGTCTTCTTTTAAATTTATTCCAAGAATAAATTTTGTTTCTAGCTAAATGTATTTTAAATTTAAAGCATAATTTACATTTTTTTTTTTTTATTAAAATTGTGATTTCTATTGACAGCACGATATATTTTTCAAAATATTATTAATTTTTTAAAACAACATAGTTACAAATAATTTTATATATTTTTTTTTAATTAATAAATAAAAATTTATAAAAGTGAATTATTCTAATGAAATTATATCAAGTTTTTTTCATAAACTTGAAAAATATATAATGTTGATATAAACATAAACGCTCCTGGTAAGTTAATTTTGATTAATGAAACAATTACTTAAAGGTAACACTTAGTTGTTATTAAATTGATTTGCTATTCTCAATAAATGTATTTTCGAATACATTTATTTTAAATATTTCTTCTCTATATTAAAATTTCAACTTGTTATAACAAACTGAAATATTTCAATTTATTTGTTTTTTTTTTTCAGAAATCAAGTTGTATATTGACAACATAACTTTATAATATCATGGTGAAAGCACATAAGCCATGGAACAATATGTCTCATTCGAGTGCACCAGCTTTACCACCAAGAAAATTATCTCAAACTAGTTACCCCCCATCAACTGATAATATGACAGACCGATTGCAAAATCCACTACAAGAACCTAATTGTATAGAAGAAGCTGATTGGTATTGGGGTGATATTACTAGAGATGAAGTTCAAGAAAAATTAACTGATATGCCAGATGGTACATTTCTTATCAGAAATGCATCAAATAAAGCTGGAGAGTACACACTAACGTTAAGAAAAGGAGGTACCAATAAATTAATAAAAATTTACCACAAAAATGGAAAATATGGATTTTCTGAACCATATAACTTTTTTTCTATAATAGATCTCGTAAATCATTATCGCAAGGTTTCATTGTCTCAATATAATGCAACACTTGATATTAAGTTATTATATCCTGTATCTAGATTTCAACAAGATGAAGAATTTGGAACTTGGAAAAGTTTGAATGTAGATGTAGTATGGATACGATTAATTGATTTACTTAGAGAAATAATGATGAAATCCAAATTATATGATGACTTATCAGCAGAATTTCAAAGTGCTATGGCTGATATTTCTGTAAAACGAATGGGGTTGCAACAATATCATGAAATTAATAAAATGTTTGATGAGCAACTAAAATTACATGATAAATATCTTAAGAAAGCAGAACGTCATGAAGCAGAAGATTTAATTGATAATATTGAAGTTGTCAAAAAAAGAATGAAATATCTACAAGAAAGTAAAATTGACCTTGAAGATAAGCTATACAGGTATTTCAATTTTCTTTTTTTAAACATTTTTTTTTTTTTGAGATCAATCTCTATACGATATCGATACGTATCAATCTATACGATATTTTGTACAATATGCTTATAAGATACGGGTAAATATATGATATGTAAACTTGATAAGAAGTCACCCCCACTAACAACACTTGACTTTTAAATATTAGTTATTTATTTCTTATACTTTTTTTTTGAATTGCTGCAACCAATGAGTTTTAAACTAATCATGTCTACTTCTTTTTTACCCTTTTTTAAACATGGTCATTACTTTAATAGTCATTGATCAACAACTAGTTCTAACTTTTAAATAAATATATATTAAATTTTTTTTTTTACTAGACAAGTCTCTTATAGTCAAACTTTAGAGAGACAAATGTATCAATTAAAACAAGAAATAACATTGTTCACTCGTCAAAAAGAGAAGTCAGTTAAGTGGCTATTAACACATGGTGTATCACTAGATGCTATTAATCGTGTGTTAAATGGTGCAGATTGGTGGACTCGCAAACCAGAAGATATTGAAATGCAACTTAATATTTCACATCTGGATGAAAATACATGGTTGCTTCAATCATGTTCACGTGCTGATGCTGAATATATGCTAAGTGGAAAATGTAATGGAACATTTTTAATTCGACCCAGTAGAACTGGTCAATCGGCTCTCTCTATTGTCTGCAATGGTATAGTTAATCATTGTATAGTTTACAGAACTCCTAAAGGATTTGGTTTTGCTGAACCTTATAATATTTATTCTTCATTGAAAGATTTAGTCCTACATTATTCGCAAACATCCTTAGAAGAGCATAATGATTCACTTAATACTATGTTAGCATACCCAATCTTAGCTGATAATGACATAAATAACAAATAAAATAATTACTACGAAATATTAGGCATAATAGTTATGCTACTTTTGTAGTATAAATTTGTGATATAATTTACTTTTTAAAATATTAATTATTTATTAATGTTAACGAGTTATATAATAAGGAGAAATATTTTTTATATTAGTGTGTATATATTAAGACATTGTTATTGATAAAACTTTTAACTTGTTTGTATCAAAAATACCAATACCAATTTGTTTTATTTGTATCAAAATTTTTATTTTGTACTAAATTTATTTGTGAATGTTATGCAAAGAACAATGTTTAAAATAATTTATACTTTTAAAAAAGTATTTTTTTGTTAAATAAATTTTGTTTTTAATTTTAATAGCATGTTTTTATTCACTCTTTGTCTATAGAAAGTGCATGTGTTATGCAATGAAAAATATATTCATGCAGTGGAATGAATTGATGTAATTAAGTAAATATTCAATAATAAATACATTTCAGATGTGATAATAAAATGAAATTTAAAGGAAAAGTCGATTAGTAGTTAAATTTTGTGTAGTCTTTTAAAATATACTACAAAATAATTTAAATTATTATTTAGGACAACTATTATTTAACATAGTTAAATCATCTTTCATAAAAAATCATTCATTAACAACTAAATGATTATTTCATTCAACTACAACTTCTTCTTTTTTTCCTCGCCTTAATCCAAACTACTTGGGCTCGGCCATCCTTATCCCAAACTTTCACTTGACACAATCTCCCACATCATCTATGCTCACATCAGCTTTTCGGGTAAGAGTAGGAGTGCACCAAGGTTCTGCTTTAAGCCTTTACTTATTCTCTATGATGGATGAAATTACTAGAGAAATACAAGGAGAGGTGCCGTGGTGGATGCTATTTGCTGACGATATAGTGTTAATAAGAGAAAACAGGAAGGAAATTAATCAAAGGCTAAAAGTGTGGAAATCAACTCTTGAAGAAAAGGGTTTAAGAATAAGTAGAACTAAGACAGTTATAGAAATGATTGTTGAAGGAAGAAGAGGTAAAAGAAGACCAAAAAAGAGACTAAGGGATGCTATTGAATGCGATGTGACAGCTGATGTGATCGTAGATGATGTGGTAGATTGTGTTAAGTGGAAGTTTAGGATAAGGATGGCCAAGCCCAAGTAGTTTGGATTAAGGCGAGGAAGAAGATATTTATATTTTTATGAAAACAGCATTTCCTGAACCAAAGATAAATAATAATTAATTGCGATTGTTTGATTTTAGTGGTGACTATGATAAACGTCGAAAAGTACATAAACATCGTAATTAAGAATCTCGAAACTCAACTGATAGACAACACCATAGACATAAACATTCAGATTATGATAAAAGAAAAAGACAAAAGTATGATAAGAAAAATCATTCCTGCGTCACGAAAGTAGCAAATCTGATGTAGATTATGAGTGGGGTTCTAAAAAGGAATCCTTAGATCAAATAAAACATGCTACAAAGAAAGAAGAACCAAACTTTGGTACTACAGGTAAATTGGCTGAGGATACAAATACATTTAATGGTGTAGTTATACAATATAGTTACCCAGCTGAAGCAAGAAAACTTAAACATCGTTGGCGTTTATATCCATTTAAAGGAGAAAAACAATTGTCTGTTCTCCATATTCATAGGCAAAGTGGTTATTTATTAGGCCGTGATCGTAAAGTTGCTGATATACCCATAGATCAATATAGATTAATAGCTGCTAAAAAAGATGGCAGACACATTAGATCATACATTATTGACTTGGAGTCAGCTAATGGTACATATGTTAATAACCAACGTATATAACCAAAAAGATATATAGAGCTTATGGAAAAAGATGTTATAAAGTTTGGATTTAGTTCTAGGGAATATGTTCTTTTGCATGAACACAGTGTTGATTCTGGAGATGATGAGGATGCTGAGGATAATCTAAATGAAGAAAATAATTGATGCGCAACAAATAACTCAATTACTCAATTTGTTTCTGATAATATGTATATAGAAAGTAAAAATAAAACTATTTAGAATTCAACATTTTGTGTTTAAATGAAAACATACATCAAAAATATGTTATTATATAGACATTTATAAAAACCTACAGTACTTTTTATTGAGACGATCATAAATCATAATCAATACAATTAAATGATTATCAAAATTATAAATATACGATTTCACTAATTAATATATATATATATATATTAATACAACATGAATGGGATTTACACTTTTAGTGAGTGGTCCCTAACTTAGTCTAATAATAATAAATAATATTTAAATTGTAAAATAAATGTATATAAATTTAAACCAAACCATATGCTTGATGTGTTTTAAACGTCTTAGGCCATTGGAATTGTTCAATAGTTGAATTGCCGCTATATTTTCATGGTTTTCTAACATTATTTTATGCTTACGTGCAGACCGAGTGACTTCATCTGCTACGGTTGGTAACATCATATCTCAATGAATTACATCATTTCTATCGAATTTGTAAGCCGCAACGATTGTACGAATTGCGATATTTCGACAACGTTGTATAACATCTATGTTGGACTTACTGGCACAACCCCACAATTGAATTCCATAAGTCCAGACAGGTTTTACGATCGCTACGTAAAACAGACGTTTGTTCTCTAGTGATAGTTCAGAATGTTTTCCAACTAACCAATAGAGACCACACATTTTATCCTTTGTCTGCAGTCTTTACTAGCGTACATGATTTTTTCAGTTGAGGTGGCAGTCAAGGTGCACTCCCAAATATTTAGCCAAATCTCTCTGTGTGATTATTTGTTGATTCAGAAATATTGGAATGTCACATGTTTTACGTAACGTGAAATTTATATGTACTGACTTTTCATTGTTAATCCTGATCTTTCAACATTTCAACCACGTAGAAATGTTTAAGGTTATTTTAATCTGATCAGTAGCTATCTGTTGATCTTTATTGGTTGTTAATATTGCATTATTGTCTGCAAACATAGCGATTGTTGAGTTTATGTTGTTCGGAATGTGTAAAGTATAAAGTAGATACAATATAGGGTCCAATACACTACCTTGTCGAACTCCAGCTGCTATATTTTTCCAATTAGTTAAAGCTTCTTCATGTATGATGCGGAACTGTCTTTCAGTCAAATAGGATTCGAGTAGTGTACACCATTAGTTTGGTAGTTGTTCACGCAATTTTATAAGCAGGCCTTTATGCCAGACTTTATCAAAAACCTGGGCTATGTCAAGGAATACTCTGCAACACTAATTTTTTTCTTCAAACGCGTTACTTATTACGTTAGTTACACAATGAATTTGGTCTATAGCTGAATGTTTGTTTCTAAAATCGAATTGATAATCTGGTATATGTTTTTTTTCTTCTATTAAAGATTAGAAGCGCTTTAAAAGAAGCATTTCTAAGAGTTTAGCCATACTGGGTAAGAGTAATATTGGCCTATATGAATAAGGTTGCTCTGGAGGCTTACCAGGTTTTAGCAACATGATTACTTGCGCTTTTTTCAAATGTTCTGGAATATAATGTGTGCGTGTTATAGCGTTATAAATATGAATTAGATGAATGATAGTTTTTTTTGGTAATTCTTTCAGAATACAAGGGCTGATTTCATCATAACCCGGTGCCTTTTTAGGGTTGATATTTGTATCAATTTCATGTGCAACTTCTAATGGTGTAAAGTGCCGTATTTTGTAATTAATTTCGTTTGATAGTTGATATTCTACTTGGTCAAGTTCTGAGTTTATGTTATTCAGTTGAAAAACATGTTCTAAATGAAGTGTATATGCTTCTGCTTTGTACATATTAGTACGCGCCCACGTATCATCTTTACGAATAGGAGGTACATAAGCTCCAGGTCTTTTCATTTTTCTTATAGCTTTCCATAAATAATAATCGCTAGAAACTGTAGAAGATAGTCCGCTTAAATATGACTTAAATGTTTCGTTTTTAACTTCTTTAATTTTCTCACGAAATGCTTTGCATAAACGATTCCATTCAGTTTTATCTGCTGAATGACGGGTAGTGTGTCATTTTCTTCTAGCTCTGCGTTTTTGCTTAATAAGTTCTTTTGTCGTAATTAGCTGATTTTAATAGTGCACGTCCTTTAGGGGTAATAAGTCTTGATCCCCAATGAGTATGTTTGGCGTTAAAATCAAAATCTACGATAAAACAGTTGCCTAGAGTTTGGTAAAACTCATTGAATTTATTGAAGTCAACGCCACCTTGAGGTGGACAATAAATTGCCGAAACTGAAAAATCATCACTCTCATTAATGACTCTAACATTTGTTGCTTGTATGTCCATTGTATAATACTTTTCAAGCTCAAAATGTTTTATACGTTGTTTTATAATAACTGCTGTACCACCACTACTTGGATGTAAGGTAGTATAGATATTGTAATTTTTTATTTTTAAAAAAGTCCATGGGGTGAAATGTATTTCTAAAATAAGAGCTATCTCAATGTTCTCATTACTTAAGAAGTCTTCGAGTTTTTGTTTACGCTGTACTAGCCCATTGGCGTTCCAAGATATGATACGTAATGTATGATTCATTTCTTTTTTTTGTTTTGATTATTAGACTTAGACTGGTTATTTTCTAACTTATCAAGTCTACTAATCATATTTGTTAAAGATTGTGATATATTTGTAAGGACTGATAAAATTTCCATTAGTACGTAGTATAGAGTACGTAGTACGTAGTTATCACTTTGAACCGAGTGTATTGGTTGATTTTTAAGAATAACGTTATTTCCATTAGAACTACTATTTTAGCATAGGAAACATCCGATGTAACAGTTTTAGCAGGTTTCTGTTGGAAATTTTGCACTGCAGATGTTTTTTGGGGTAGATTTTTTCTTCTGCTTTCTTGTAAGCTGAACAGCCTTTCCAATTTGCGGTGTGGGCTTCTCCGTAACTGGCGCATTTCGATTTCGATTTTTTCTGTTTTGGATAATCTTCTGTTATGTTCTTCACCACATTTTACACAAATAGATTTTTTGTGACAATAATTTTAAGTATGGTCAAAGGCTTGGCAGTTTTTACACTGTGGCACACCTTTTTTTTTCTTCGGAGGTTCTACTTTTATTTTATGATAACATAAACTATTTAAGTCGTATATATCTTTATTGTTATCTCAAGGATCAAGGTCTACAAAAAAAAAAACAGTAATTATATTATTATTTTTTCACTAAGATTTATTTTTTCTTAATTTGGATATTAGTGATATCACTTGCATAATGACCATTACTAATTTATAAATTTAACTAGCTAAGTTAAAAAATAAATTGAATTTTTTTTAACCTAACCTAATATATCTAAAAATGTTGAAAATTACTGATTTCTTAAAAATGTTTACAATAGTTGTAATTATTATTCTATTTGTATTTATATTCAGGCTATTTTATTTTACCGATTTATTCGTAGTAATTTCATTTGGAGATACTTTACAAAAAATCGGTGTAATGGATTGTTGGACCAAACATTGATCGTAACATAACAATAGATTTATGTCTATTTACACGATTAACTAATATCACGATAATAGATAAGATTATCTGTAATATACAATTGTGAAATGAGACATTCTTATCTTCATGTTTTGAACTATCGCTAAAATAAATTTTTTTTTACTTGTAGTACTTTTTTTTTGATTTTTTAAAGTTCTCAAAATTACGTCATGAGTAACACGCTTTTAAGTGGATTCCAAGTGTAAGTTGAAAGATATTTTCTTTTGTAATTTAATTTTTAGTTCTTATTTAACTTAATGAATGGAAAATATTTCTTTTAATCTAGAAACTGGATGAATTTAAGAGATGCTGATACTGGGGTTATATTGTGGCAAGGAAATGACGATTTGTAAGCTACTTATGATTTTAATAATAGTAAATATATGTGTATACAATTGATTTTAGATCTCTACCTGATAAGGAACATGAAGCAAGAGTACCAAAAAAAATTTTAAAATGTAGAGCTGTATCTAGAGAAATAAACTTTTCATCAGTTGAACCTATGGAAAAATTGAGACTACAGCAAAAAGTACTTTTTAAGGTATAGTTAAATATTTGTTGAAGTGCAATTATCAATTTATAAACAAATTACCAATCAACTAAGATTTTTGTTATTTAAAATTAATAAATAAGTAAAAAAAAATAATAGGCAATTTCAAATAAATAATTTGATAAATGATTAATTACATTCTTCCTCAATTTTTATTCAATTAAAAATTTCAGATATAAGTCACTAAAATTTATGTGCAAACAAATTTAAAAAATTGATTTGTTTTGACAATTCCTTAATTATGTATATATACATATATTTATTTAGTCATTGAAAAACAAAAAGATTACAAATAATTGTTGTTTATCAAATGTTATATTTTTCATTCTTGTGGTATATTAAAGATATCATTTAAATATTTTTATTATATTTTACAAGATAGTTTTAATTATTTAATGTTAATAACATTTTAATAAGAGAAGCTCTACGATAATTTTTTTCAAATACAAATTTTATCAAAATAAAATGCTTCGATGCAAATCTTTTGATAGTGTTTAATTTTAAAAAATTGGTGTATTATTCCAAAAGCTACATGATCAGCTAGTTCCTTCTTAATATCCTGATAAAGTATGTCAAGTGAAAAAGGGATTATAAAAAAATATTATTTCTCATAAAAAAATTGTGTTGATCCATACACTTTTCAATAAGTTATTGCATTATAAAGTTAAAAATGTAAAAAAAAAATAGAGAATTTTCACACAAAAATAGCATTTGGTAGCCATTTTCACCACGAAGACAAATCCAGAGGTCAAATTTTTTTTTTATAAAAAAGTACATTACATTAGCTTTAATTTAAGATATATATAAAAGTGTCAAACCTTCCGGAACATTTTCAAAAGTTAATTTTTTGTAATTTTAAATCCCCCCTTATGGGCAGGTTAAGTGTCAGATTTACAAAAAATATATACCAAATAATAGGTAAAGACATCAAACATCTATAAAAAAAAAAAAAAATTATATTGATATGTTCATTTTTGATAAAGTTACGGCAGTTTTTAGTAAAAAAAATTGAAAATTAGCGAATTTTAAATTTGTAATTTTTTGGGGGTTTCCCCCATTTACGGGGAACGATGGAAATTTTTTTAATTTTTAAGGGTAATGTCTTCGATTAAATACGATTTGTGATCTTTTGACGTATGATTGAAATAAATCGGTTTGGTGAGAGCTGAGAAAAAGTGGGTACAGACACAAAAAAAAAAACACATCATAGTAAAACCAATACCTTTTTAGCTTTTTACCTTTCGCATCGAAGCTAAAAGTAAACCATTCTAATAACTTGTCTTTTATGAATAATCGGCTTCAAAAGTCAAAAATCATGAAATTTTTTTTTTAACTTGTTTCAAACGCACATTAAATCATTTTATTATGGTGATTTTAATCATCATTGTCAGGTGTCAATCAACATAAATTCAAAAAAAATGTTTAAATTTCACTTTGCTGGATCCCTACTGCATTTTACTTATTATTGTTACTTTGCAGGGACGTTGCTTAGAGGAATGGTACTTTGAGTTTGGATTTGTCATTCCTAATTCAACCAATACGTGGCAATCATTAATTGAAGCGGCACCAGAGTCTCAAATGATGCCTGCAAATGTTTTAAAGTATTTTAAATATAAAAATATAAATTTACTTATGCTTAAGTGTTTAATATCACCACTAAAACTCTATGTTGTATATTACAAGTTTTTTCAATTATTTTTTTCATTTGATAAATAAGATTACATAAGAGTGGTTAATTATGTTCTTGTTTTACTTTGTAAAACAATTAAGTAAACTTTACCATTAATGATTACTACCTTAAAAGTAAAATCCTTCAGCATATATGCACTAATTAATAAGTTTCTATCATTTTTGTAAACAGTGTCACCATTAAATTTTGTCAGCCATTTTTACATCATCAATTGTTTGAACATTTTTTAAATTAATTTTTATTTTTTTTGGGTTAGAAAAATGTCATCAGAAGCAAGATTTAAAGGATAGAGTATAGAGTAAAAATGGGCTGTTCTTGTTGATTTTTAAAATGTCTCAATTAATTTTTATACATTTATTGAATTTTGGATCCACTATCCACTTTTGGCTTTGATTCCAAATCCAATGAAATCATTTTGATTAATATTTTTCACGCAATTAAATTTTCTGAAAACTTTCTCTGTCAAAACTGAACTACTTTGTCACAGCTTTAACATTTAATGGACTATGGTACCAAATAATTTTATTAATTCTAGAAAATTTTTGTTAATTGAAATCATGTTGGGATGATTGGAAATATCATCATCTTCTCTATTGTTCCTTTTACAATAAAATCATGTGCAGTATTCATGAATACTGCAAATATGTGATACAAAACACTTTTTATCAAGATAATTTATATTAACATAATACTTAATTTTTAAATCTAATAACTTTCCGGCAATCAAGTAAAACTAATACCAATAATATAGTAAATTAAAATAAGAATATAGAAATATGATGAGTAATGATAAAATCAGTTCATTCATATTATCAGATAGGTGCGTTTTTTTCAACAACTACAATAGATAATATTAATGTTAAGGTCTTATTAAAAATTTTGTTACTTTAATGTAACACCTTGTATTTAGACCTTATAATGACAATCCCTTTATTTGTTAGATTTTTTTTATAAACCTCTTATAAGCTACTGTTACATCTATCAAAATAACCATATTTATGTTGCTTGTAGGTCATATACTTAATTGTTTCTTTACATTAAGTAGAAATTATATTTTTACCAACAAAAGTTCTTATAGATAACTTACCAATTAAGAAAAAATTATTTTTATTAGTTACCCAACATATTTTTTTGTATTTTTTGTAAAACAATGTGTAAAATCTTCTTTGATAAATGAAAACTGTTTCTAATTATAGTAATTTATTATTTTTAATAACTATTTTTTTTTTATTTACAGTGGCAATATAGTAATAGAGACTAACTTTTATGATGATGAATTTTTAATTTCATCTTCGAAAGTGCGGTTATACTATGTCTAATATGAAGTTATCTATATAGTTATATTTGTAAATATACACATTCTTGTACATTTTTATAAAGAATAATAAAGAACAATTAGTTTAAATTGTTAAAAAAAAATGTAAATGTTTATTTATTGTAATTAATTTTGTTATAGAGATGTTACTTTTTTTCATTATTAATTTAAACTAATTAAGTAATTGACTTTATTATATATGTAATTAAAAATAATTATCTTTTAAACAACTATTCAACTAACTCATTGTTGTACATAAAACTTAATCAATTTTTAACTTATAAGTAATTATTATTTTTTGGTTATGAGTTTATTAAGTTCAATTTTTTAATTTTTCATTATACACATAAAAAGGTTGAGTATTAATGTAACACTTAAATGTGTTACATTAAAATTTAATTGTTTAGTTTTCAAATATATACTTTTATTCTACATTGATTAAGTCAATTATACATTTATTTTATATTTAATGATTGGTGAGTAAATGATTATAATCATTTACCACCCACCAATAATAATTAATAAATAATAATAATCTTTTCATAGTTATAATTATAGTTATCACATTTATTCTAAATATAAATATAGTATTAAATTTAATGAAATTAAATTACTTTGATTGATTTTAATGAGCCAACTAATTCAATAATTGTATCTGAACATTAATTCTATGATTAAAATAATTTAAAAATATTATATTATTGTTATTGTAATGTATAAAAATTGTAGAAATTATCTGTGTCAGCAAATACCTAATATACATTATTAGTTTTATAAGACATGGTATTCTAACACAACATTTAATATCATATTTTAAAAAGGTAAATATTTTAGTTAAAATTCTTATTTTAAATGTATAAACTTATCTTTATCTATTAAATTTTTTATGTCACTTGATTTTATGTTAGTAACATAAATGTTTTATGACAAGTTATTGAATCATTTTTGAGACTATTAAGTTAACATTTTAAATAAAGATTGCAATTATTGTGCTATTAAATATGTCTCACTCTGTATTGTGGAAATATGTTGCACTAGAAAATCATATTTTATGTAACACTCAAATACTAGTTTTTAAACACAATTAAAAATTATTTGCCTTCTGGAAAGTTTTATTTTTTTATAGACACTTAAAAATAATTTTAACTTCTTATAACATAAGTTTTTTAGTAATAAATATTTAGGTTTAGGACATGCCCAAAAATATTTTTATTATGATGTCAATAATAAGATATTTATATCAATTTTTTTTTTTTTAATTTATAAAAAGCAATTTTCAACTTCATAGTTAACTTAAAATAACCATATTATTTTTCTCATTGCTGAGAAGTTCTTTTTGCATGTAGCAGAACTAACTGGAAGTGTCAAAGGAGGTTGGAGTATTTTATAAAGATTAGGAAATACTTGAAATGTGATATTATTTTTGAAATCTTTAAAATCACCTTTTTCAGATTTAGCAAGGTAGTTTTTAGTTACCCATAATTTCTGATTTAAGGACTTCTTAACAAATGTGTAAACCGGGTAAATCCTAAAATGAAAAATTATCATTAATAATTATAAAAAAACCCGGCACAGTGGTGACGTGGTATAGTTGGATTAAGTATAATGATATCTGACAGTGATTAAAATCACTATAAAAAAAAAAACGCTTCGATGCAAATCTTTAGATAGTGTTTAATTTTAAAAAAATGGTGGATTATTCCTAAAGCTACATAATCTGCTAGTTCCTTATTAATATCCTGATTAAAATAAAGTATGTCGAATGAAAAAGGGATTATTAAAAAATATTATNCCTGATTAAGATAAAGTATGTCGAATGAAAAAGGGATTATTAAAAAATATTATTTCTCATAAAAAAATTATGTTGATCCATACACTTTTCAACATGTTATAGCATTATAAAGTTAAAAATGTAAAAAATAAAATCGAGAATTTTCACACAATAATAGCATTTGGTAGATATTTTCACCGTGAAGATAAAATAATGTCCGAAATTTTTTTTTTTCATAATAAAGAATATTACATTAGCTTTAATTTAAGATATATATAAAAGTGTCAGACTTTCCGGAACATTTTCAAAATTTAAGTTAAAAAAATTAATTTTTTGTGAAAAAGTTGTCATTTTAAATCCCCCCCTGTGGAGAGGTAATGGGTCATATATAAAAAAAAAATATACCAAATGAAAAGTAATGTCATGCATCTATATATAAAAAAAAATTATATTGATTTGGTTATTTTTAAAAAAGTTATGGCACTTTAAAGTAAAAAAAATTTCAAAAATTAGCGATTTTTAAATTTGTAAATTTTTTGAAGGTTTCCCCCATTTGCGGGGAACGAGGGAATTTTTTTCAATTTTTGAGGGTAATGTCTTCGACTAGATACGATTTTTGATTGTAAAATTATTTATAAATGATATTACTTGTTTATAAATATAATATAAAGGCACATCTATAATTTTACTATAACTCACTAAATCATTACTATTTGCAATATTGAAGCTGGATATCTTAAAGACAAATTTAAAATATAAAAAGCAAAAGGACTATACTTAATAAGTCTAAAAATAATGTAATTTGTGTAATAAGATTTTAAATTATTTCTTACTTGATTAGAAGTCACCGATGTTTTAGGATTTTTTGGTTTAAAGTTATCATATAATTTAGAATTTATTATTTTATTAACAAATCATTATCAAAATAAAAAACCCAGCACAGTGGGGTCGCGGCATAGTGGGGATGTTGCATAGTTGGGTCCAGTATAGATTTAATCTGACAGTGATTAAAATCACTATCATAAGAAACGCTTCGATGCAAATCAGTAGATAGTGTTTAATTCTAAGAAATTGGTGGATAATTACAAAAGCTACATTATCTGCTAGTTTCTTATTAATACCCTGATTAAGATAAAGTATGTCGAATGAAAAAGGGATTATTAAAAAATATTATTTCTCATAAAAAAATTGTGTTGATTCGTACACTTTTCAATGAGTTATAGCATTATAAAGTTAAAAATGTAACCAACCCAACCCAACATCAACTCCTATTTCCTTAATTATATCCAGATTAGTAATTATTTTAATTATATATTATATAATTTTTATAATTAATTATTTTCAAATTATTATTGATTTTTAATATGTTAAAAGTAATCATTTTGAACCTACTTCTTTTTGTTCTTTAAAGTGAAAGTTTTAATAAAAAAAAAATGAATTTATTACCATAACTTTTAACTCAACTTGCAAGTTTGAAATAAATATTATTAAATAGAAAAAAATGAAATTGGTAGATTATTTCAAAAACAACAATAACACTTATTCCCTTAATTTTACCCCGATTTATAACTATAATATATGAATACATAATAATTACAGTAATTAAATTGAGTATGAAAGTGGTATTCAATAATATAATATTGTAATTTTTACGGAGATATTATAAAAATAAAAAGGAGTTGTATATTCATATACTTTTAATGCGTATACAAATTTAAAGGAATTTATGCAATACTTTTTAATAAAAAAATTTTGTTACTTATGAATAAATACACTAAACAAAAGGAACTTTCATCAGAAAAAAAATATACTTTTCTAAATAAACTTTTCGTGATGTTTTCAAATGTGCAATTAAACTTTTTCTATTACTTCTAAGTTTTAATATTATTACTTATTATTAAAAAATAAGTATTTACATATAAAAAAAAATAATTAAGAACAAAAAAAATTGTATTAAATTAATACTGATTTTGATTTTTAATATGTTAAAGGTAATCATTTTGAACCTATTTTTTATTGTCTTTTAAAGTGAAAGTTTTAATGAAAAATACCTTCTCAGCTTCGCATCGAAGCTAAAAAATGAATTTGTTACCATAACTTATAGTTCAACTTGCAAGTTTGAAATTGACATTATTAAATTGAAAAAAATGAAATTTTTAAGATTAATATGCAATCTGGAAATTTTATAATTACTAATTACAGTACATTTGTCAGAAAAATTCGATTTTTTTACATTTTTATCGTAATAGATAACTGAAATAGAAAGAATAGTAATCATATCCTAATAACTTTTGGTGTTTAAAAAAATTCTGCAATTGAAATATTCAGAACTTAATTAATTTTAATAATTTACTTTAATTAAATGAACCAATCAAACCAAAGTAGTTAAAAAGATTTACTCAATTGAGCATATTATCAAAAATATAATTATAATTGTAAAACTCCATCGTTAACTTCAGGTGAAACTAAAAATCATTTTTTTTTTAAATTTATGATTTATATAGCAACATATTACTAAAAAATTTGGCATATTATAGACTGGTAGTAGCACACAGAAATAGAGTTAAAAAATTAATAAATTATAAAGTAAAATTATTTACTTTTGTAGTTGAATACTTTTATCATATCAAATTTAATTCGACAATAAATAATTTAAGAATATTAAAAATTAATGATTTTAATTGTTTGTATGGACAAATCTAGTTAAGCTACTTTTTATTTGAATAAGGAATATTTTTTTGATTTTTAAGAGTAATAACTTAAACTAATCATTAACTTAAATATCATAAACTTAAATGAATCATTTGACGTATCGTTGAAAAAAGTAGGTCTAGTGAGGGTTGGCAAAATAAATCGTAGCCAGAAAAAGAACCACATAGTAAAATAATATTAACATGAATATCAATTTCTTCTCACGAGGGGAGACTATAGTGATAAGATCCTTTATATTTATTGAAATTATTGAATCTAAATGAGATAAATATCAAATGATTTGAAAATTCTATTCTAACTCAAAAAAAAAATGCAAAATTTTAGAAGCCACAAACGGATTTGAACCTCGTACCCTAGGCGTTAAAGATCAAGGTGTTACCCATTCGGCAACTATTCGTTGATTTTTGTTGCATGATAAAATTGGCTATTTAAGCTAACTCAAATTTAAAAATTACTTTTTCGACTTTAAAAAAGTAAAAAATGTTAATAAGTATAATATCATATGTCTTATGAACTTTATTCTATGTCAATGAAATTATATAATATTCATGAAAGTCAGTTTATTCCCCTAATAAAATATTTTAAAATAAAATAAAATACAAAACCTAGAATTTTAATAAAAAATAGCATATTTTTAAATACGGTAGCCTTTTGCGCATAGAAGATAGGTCGTCGGGACAAATTTTTTTTTTTCATTTAGTAGTACATAAAATAAGCTTTAATTTGATATATGTTTAAAGGACGCAGTATTTCCGTAACATTTTCAAAAATTAAGTTGAAAAAGTTATTTTTTGTAAAAAAGTTGCTATTTTAAATCTNTTTAATTGTTTGTATGGACAAATCTAGTTAAGCTACTTTTTATTTGAATAAGGAATATTTTTTTGATTTTTAAGAGTAATAACTTAAACTAATCATTAACTTAAATATCATAAGTATTAAGAAAAATAAGTGAAAAAATTTTGAAAATTAGCGATTTTTAAATTTGTAATTTTTTTGGATATTTCCCCCATTTGCGGGGAACGAGGGAATTTTTTTCAATTTTTAAGGGTAATGTCTTCAACTAGATACGATTTGTGATCTTTTGACGTATTTTTGAAAGAAATCGGTCCAGTGAGAGCTGAGAAAAAGTGGCAACAGACATAAAAAAAACACATCATAGTAAAATTAATACCTTCTCCGCTTCGCATCGAAGCTAAAACAACAAATCTGTGCTACAATAGATTTATTTCTCCATAGAACAACCACAATAACAATGATAACGAACTGTTAGAATTCTACAGCTATATATTGTGTAAATGACATTATTGTGGTCAAGATATCACAAAGGCCAAAGAATGTAAACAATAGCATTATCTATGTCACTTCTACCACAACTATATATAAATGCCTACATTATTAATATGTAATTTTGATATGGTGATATCATTTAACAATGATATAACACATTATTTCTGTTAAATAATATATGCATTTATGGAAACATATTTAAACGTATAATAATAAAGTTATATATAAGTTTAATACATAATAGATATACCTTTTATAGAAAAACTTTTTTTCCATGCTCCAAACCATCAGTTTTTACAAAATAAAGGGTGTCCCAAAATTAATGCAAGATTT